TCGATAGAGGTGCGTTCGTGCCGTTCGTTCGATAGAGGTGCGTTCGTGCCGTTCGTTCGATAGAGGTGCAGCGATAGAGGTGCGTCGTGCCGTTTGATCAGTGTAGCGGATCGGTGGTGGTATCGGTTGGTGTGGTTGTATAGAAGGATCTTATAACATCTGTTGAAGAGACTAAAGGTAGCGATAGATGTATTACGAATGATGTTATAAGATTATGAGGAAAAGCTACTTTGTTGTCTCTGTATATCTGTAGATCTGTAGATGGGTGGAGGCTAGATTCTGGTTGACGGTTGACCGTCAGACGGCCGGAATCAGCAATATCTTCCGGAAAAAGTGAGACACTGTTGCTCTGTGTGGCTTGCACTCACCAATTTTTAGTAAAATGTTTATTTTGTGAGGGGTACCAAGAGGGTACCATGGTACCATACCCTGCTGCTAGCTAGATAAAACCCAGGCGATAAGCAGGTAGCGGTATACCCTGCTGCTAGATGAAGCATGGAGATAATAAGCGGTGAGGATAGGAACACAGTGTACCGTAGCGGAGGTTGGCACCATCAAGGGCGGATGAGTGGATGAGTCATGCTTGCCTCCGAGTAGTCTAACTCTTTCTACTAGCTAGCTAGTCAGCAGTGCAGAGAACCTGTACTAGTACCACTAAATCAATTTTATTAAGTGGAATGGTGCTGGCTTATATCTCTTCATTCACTCTGGCCTTTATTTCTCTCATGAAAGAGATTTAACAAAACTATCTCAGAAACTTCAACTTGGGTATCCTTTTCTCTCAACCCAGGACAATGGCGGTGCCTTGGACCCTCAACACAATGTCATCACACCACTATACTACTACTCCAAGCTAGCTTTAGGCACCATGCTGCGCTTCCTTTTTCTGATGATGACGGCTCTGCTGATGGCAGATAGGTGCTGGGCCTTTGTGCCTTCTGGTCTCGAAAAGTCGCGACTTGCTCCAGCCAAGGAAGCAGTGCCAATCCACACCACGACCACGACGGGTGGAACACGATTGTTTATGGCTCAAATTACCGAGAAAGAAGCCCAAGCTGGTATTGACAAAGTAGTGGCAGCTCTGCGAAAGGACAAACAGGCAAATGAGGAACTAGGCCGCCTTCAAAGTGTCAACAATGTTCTAGGATTTGGAAGCCCGACTCCTGGACAGGTTGCGGTGAGATTCAATGCTTCCTTCAAGAGGGGTGGAATGGGACGAGCAGCAGTTCCACTTCCCTTTGGCCTTGGTCAAACCAACAAGAGCGAAGGGCGAGGCGTTATGGTGGGGCAAGTCAAAGCCAGTGTCGACTCGAACACTGGAAAAGTCACCAGCTGTTCTGTATTCAGAGATCTGGGCTATGGAAGGGCGTTCAACCTAAAGGTGTGAATTCCTGGTTTGTAGCTACTAGCATTGTCAAAGCTCAGCCGATCCTAAATAGTGGTTATAGACTATGCCTGTACTCTGCAAAAGCCTTTGAGGATTATATGCACCTAGGCAAGCTCGAATCGCTTGGAGTTTGCACTGTTTTCCTTTTTCTGCTTTGCATCCTGGGAGTCCAAGACCACTCGCTTCTTGTAAATACCCGACCGACTGACCTGCCACTTGGTTTTCTTGACATGCTTGACTGCACGGGTGGTGGCCCACTGTTCTTCCAATGCCTCCTTGCGACGCTCAACTCTGGTCTTGCGTTCCTTCCGCCCACCTCCACCACCAAACTTCTCGATGACCGAACTGAAGGCGCTGGATTGCGAAACCTTCGTTTTCTCCTGAGCTCCCTTCTTGTCTTTCTTCTCTGGAGTAGGTGCTTCCAGAGGCAACGAAGGGAATCCGTACCGACCCACAGGAGACGAGGCCTTCTGCTTGCTCTTCTTTTCGGTGGGTGAAGGCGTAAAATCCGAGGGGAGCAATGGGAAACCGTACTGTCCGACGGGAACAGCGGGAACGGGAGACGGGGCGTCTTGGCGCTGGTCGTTCACTTGGAAGGAATTTGCTGGATTAGGTTGTCGTTTCTCAGGACTGTTGTTGATTGTCAATGCCGCAGTGACTTCCGTGTCGTTGGAAAACACTTTGCTAAGTTTGGCGTCCACTGCATCCGGAGCAACCGAGGGCTTGCCGCTGTCCTCACTGGAACACGACATTTGATCACGGCTGAAGAAATCCTGTAGACCACGGCGAGGTTCGGCGGTATCAGAGTAGGAGAGGGGCTTGGCCCGATCGTGACAAATAAGATCTAGAGCACCTGCTGTCATCATCTTGTTGCCAAAAAGGTTGGCATTGTGCATGCTGTTGCTGCTTGGAGCCGGGGGCTGACGTTGTTTGGATGACTTGCCCGTTGTTTTCACCAAGAAACACTCTGAGAGCGAAGGTGGGCGCGGATTTCCCACACTCATACTTTCTCGGGCCGCGTGCGAGAGTGTAAGGGGTGAATCCTCAAATGTCGTTTCCAAGGTAAAGAGACCTCGGCTGCGGCGTTCTCGTGAACGACGTGCTCTGGCACTGTTGCCTGAGCGACCCTTTCGGGGACCAGATACCGATTGGATGCCACCAAAGTCATCCTCATCGTCCTCCTCACATTCCGTATCGGACCAGTACCCTTGGAAAGGTGGGAGTGCTTGCTTCTTCAGGTACTCACGGGCGTCGCCGCCTCGCTGGTTCCATTGGGGCCAAGTGTAAGATGGAGAAGCAAACGGGTAGTCCTCGCCTTCTTCCGTGTTGCCATCATCATCAGAGCCGGATGAAGCTTCACTCGAGGCGTCAAAGTCGATTGGTTCCAAATCAGACCACTCTGCTGGTACAGCCTTGGGCTCAGGGACGTTTTGGGTTGGCTCTTTGGCGTCCTGAGGAAAGAACGGATTGTTTTGCTCATTTTCCATCTCAAATGTCTCATCTTCCTCTTCCACGCTCTCCAGCTTGCTTATTCCAATCGATCCACAAGCATCGGCTTCCAGAGAAAACGATGCTGATGCCATAGTGACAGCAGACAGCGACAAGCAGAGTTCATTCTCAATGACAGGAGCTTCGGCTTCAGGAAGATCGAAGGACTTCGAAGGCTCCTCAAATGAAAAAAGCACATCATCATTGGGAGATTCCACGCTTTCAATGACCACGGTACTATCCGCGGCTCGCCCCTCGTTGGTTGGCTCCGTAAAACCCAAGCTCTCGGTGGCGTTTGTTGCGACAAGGAACTGCTTCTCCATGTCTTGTCGGTAGATTGGAAGGTCATCGCTCGACCTTTCCGCGCTGAAGCTACCAACAGCAGGAGAGGCCAAATCTTGCTCCTCCGTGTCGCCTGTCTCGGCAACCTTTCCATGGTCAATTGGCTGGACGGTTTGCACCGGACTCGTGCCGAAGGAGACGACGTCTTCCGAGGGACCCACCGGACTTTTGTTGCTTCCAATGGCGGGATCAGGTCGAAGGTTCTCTTGTTGTGAGTTGTTGTCGTCGTCCTGGGTTGCAGGCTGCAGTCCGAAACCATGAATACGACCACGAACGGAGACCCGGCCAATGCTATGGGGCTTCGGTTTGGTTGGACTTCGACGGCGTTGGATTTGACCTTGATCAAAGTGATCCTTGTTTTTGTTGCCAAAGTTCTTGAGCCACGCTCGGAGTTCGCTCACGGACATGTTTTCGGGAGGTGTAGTGCTGTTATCGGTAGGAGACATCATCTTGTTTTCTTGCTTGCTGAAGTTTGGAAGATTGGTTGGAAAGGATTGCGAAGTTAAGACTTTCGAAGTTAGTTTTTTTGGTTGGTTTGTTGGTGTGCTCGATTTTGCGAGGCAAAAGTTATGAGACCTTTGATCGGCTCCACTCTGGTGCTTTGCTTTGAAGGCTCTGGAGTCTTGTCGATTTTTGTGAGCCAAATCAAAGGGATTTCGAATGCTCGAGGAGGTTTCGTTTCGTCAAGGTTTGGGAGTATCCCACGATCTGACCACCGTGTCGATTTCCTTCGATGAGATTGCCTCTTCGATACGTAAATGTACCCGAAGAGATGTGGAAATGGCCGCGATGATGGGTTGTGGATAAGAAGGATGCATATAACACGGTCGAAAACCGTGGAGTTGCTACGCTCTTGCAACCAGAATGTAAGGAGCGCGGTGGCGCTAACAATAGTGATTGTGGCTGCTCCTTTCGTCGAGCGAAGCTAAGAAAATTTCATACGTTGTCTTCACGATAAAATCTGGAGTATCGAGGCGGAGTGATCCACAAAGTGGTGATCGCCTCGATTTCAGTATTCATGTGTCAAACATAGGCAAACGAAGATTACTCAAAAGCTCGTGATCATTTTCACAATAACGTAACGAGGGCGATGCAACGGCCGATGCATCGACTCGGTAATCAAATTAGTCCTGTATATGACGTCATCTCCGAGACGTAGGCCCAGCCAGAGCTTGAGAGCCACACAACCCCACCCACCAATCCAACCAAGGCAAACAAAGACGCCACCAAAAAGCAGGAACAACAACGCGACAACACGTCGAAGACACAGACTATATCTAGCTAGCAATATACTAACAATGGGAGAAGAATCGCACACTCTAGAGCATGGTAAGTGAAGAGCTAACGAAGGTCCGACTTGTCCACTGTCGCCACGGGTAGCACCGCTCACTTTCTTCATCTACCCTTTTCCGCGTGTGTGCTACCGTCTTAATTAATTTACCACACGACAACCAACAAATTATCTAATCCCATCAGAATGGGTCCTTTGGGAACACAAGGCCGTGGCTACCAAGGATCCCAACATGTGGAAGGAAAACATGAAGCAATTATGCGCCTTTAACACTGTGGAGGATTTCTGGCGCTACTTTAATCACATTCCCACCCCTTCGCAAGTCTTTTTCGACGGCGAATGCCGGAAAAAGGTCGGCACTGAGGGCAAGACAATAGAAGAATACAGTCTATTCAAAAAGGGCATTGAACCAGAATGGGGTGATCCCAAGAATGTCATTGGTGGCGAGTGGTTTTGCCGACAGTATTTTGAAGGAGAGCAGCTGGATCTGTACTGGCAGAATCTCGTCTTGGCGTTGGTCGGTGAAACCATTGAAGATGCTGTAGATGAGAAACGCAAGTTTGATGCCAACTACATCAATGGCGCACGAGTGGTCGACAAATCAAGAACCTACCCCATGTACAAGCTGGAAATCTGGATAAGTTCTCGGGAAGCCAGAGTCAAGGAAATCGTCAAGAAAAAGCTTCTAGAAGTCGTCACGGATGGACAGCCAGCAGGAGCACGCAAGGCTCATCCCAAATTTGAGTGGAAGGATCACTCTGCGTAAACGCGGAGAAGGAGAAAAGAAATGGAGTAGTGTAGATGGTGTTGTAATAATAGACAGCCAATCAACTAACTTTTCCCCATAGGGCTCTCGTCCTGGCGAATATCTTGGTGTCTGCGCTAATCCTGGAGTTGGAGGCTGTTCTCGTAGTACCGCACGGTACACATGTAGCCATTTCGAGACTCTAATTTTTTAAACAAAGAGGCCGAGTACGCCTTATAGAGTTTCTTGCCACCGACCCGCACTCTTCCTGTTTGTTTTGGGACCAAGCAAGAAATAAGACAGACACCTAGCTAGATCTACTCCGAACACTTCAACCACATTTTCCAAAACTTTGCAGACGAAGATATCACCTGCGACCTTCCAAAGGAACAGCATCGAAGTTAGCATCCTATGGCAAGGCAACCCAATAAGCCCTGCCAAGACCTATGGGACACAGCACTGCAGCCTGTGCAATAGGGAGCAACTCGAAATCCTGAAACCATCCAGAGAATCCAATCAGGTACTAATCAACTACTGCAATGGAATCTCTAGAGCCTGACGGAACAATCCAACATTTCATAAGTACCATAATAGCCCAAGCGCTGATGAAAAAGTCAAACAACCGCAAAGTTACCACCGTGTCAAGCCTGTGGTGTACATTGTAGTGATTTGGCAGTTCGTGAGTAAAGTCACTATTTGCTAAAATGGTATGAAGAACAGGTATCAACCCCAAAAGTACCGTGTTTTCGATATGGTTCACAGGGCCCGGCTGGCTAACTTCATGGCCAATTCCACTCGAGACAAAAGCAGAGGATGCGCCATGATTCCAAAATAAAACCATGCATATCTAATGTTAGGGTCCCTACCAGTATTGATTCGATTCGATTCCACTGCTTGCCCACTCTTGCTTGAGCTTGCAATTACGCTTCTTTCACATCCCAAACCTTGCTCCTTTTGCAAAACATTCTCCAAACAACAAATGCAGCCAGAATTAACAGTGGTGGACTGAACATAACCTTCTCTATCACCATTGTGGCGCCAAAGAATGGGTAGGCTATGGCCAAAAGGAATGCCTGAGTGCCAGTGCTGCTATTTTCATTCAGCCATTTCAAGATGCCAATACCATGAGCAACATGATGCGGCATGCCATCATCATTAAAAGATTGGCACACGCCCTCCAATGCCACGGCACGGCACAGCATTCGAAATGGTGTCAGTACCATGTGGATTCCAGTGTGTTGTGCAATGAACGGTGTGCCATCCTGGAATTCTGCATATTCATCCGTGTCTTGGATCAATGCAACGTAGGATGATGCGAGAATGTTGCCATTGAGTACCAAAGTCCCATCGGCGGTGAGTGGTGCATAAATACCATGCTTTGCCACAGTGTCAATATGTGTAACAGAAACTCCCAATGGTTGCAGCCGATCACCAGTCTTAATAGAGCCGGCCCTGACCGGGTTGGGCTTTCCCTCAAGATAGATCAAGTGATCTCTTGATACCTCCAGAGCTCCATTGTCGTCTGTGCTGAGGACCAAGAACTCGGCCTCTTTGGTTGGATGGTAATGCCCAAAAGAGTACACTCTTTGATAATCTGATTGACCAGTGAGAATCTTGTCACCCACTTGCAGCCCCTCCATTGGCATCATTCCCTTCCCAAACACATCAACCTTTGTGTCACCTGAAAAGCATGCGATGACAGCTACGGTGGTAGAATCGTCGGCACCACCGCCGCCGCCGCCACCTCCACCGCCGCCACTTGCAGCACAGCTGCTTGGGACGCAATAATCCCGGCTATCACTGGGAAAGCTCACAGAGCAACAGGGCGGCGTTGGGTCACCTGTGCCTCTTTGCCAACAAACTAAACTGCCTGCACACTAATCAAATCCGAAAGGAACACGTACTTGTGAGAAAAAGAATCAAGTCGACAAACAAACAACCGTTTCTCTTGAACTGACATCACTGTTGCGGTCACAATCGCTCTCGCATTGTCCAAGATGGTGTAGGCGTCGCTGCTTTTGATCTCCTTGCACAGCTCTCAAAAAGTCCTTTCGCAACTCTTTGTTCGACTCCGCGTCTGAAGCATCGTTATCTTCCAAATCAATCGCGAAAGTCAAGTCGTTTCCTTCCACTTCTGTATTCCCATCGGCCAGGTTGGATACGGCCGCCACCAAGAGTAAAAGCAGCAGACAGCGGTTGAACATGGTAACAATCGTTCTGCTCGCGGTGTTGTGCTTAGCCAGCTACAGAGATGACTCGACTCTCTATTCAAAGCAACAAAGGTGCTTGCTGAAGCCACAGCAGTAAAGAAGACATGGTCTTGCGAGAAACTTCGTGTTCGTGTCCGATCTTTCGCGTCGATTGGCATAATACCCCACATAAATGAGGCGAGGTTTGCGCGTACCGTTGCAAAATCATTTACCACGTCATGATTAGAAACGGTGAATGCAGTTATGACTTCAGTCAATCCACCAAAGTGACCACCAAATTTAGCCAATATCGGCAGGACTTGTCACGTCCACATGGTGGTGTCGGAGGTCGGAAAAACTTCTGGATGCGCCGGAAGCTTCCCCTATCTAGCTAGCTGTCGTTTTCCTGTCTTTAGCTCCCAACACCGAGACCGTATCAATCAGTTGCTTCCGGTGCCAGGGACCGCACCGTACCGTACCGGTATGAAACTCAGCTCGGTACTGCACCGTTCTTTCAAACAATTAATTTCTTTTCTGGCACCCGGAGTCCCACGTTCGCCCCCGTTGTTTCGCACAGAGCGGAAGGCAGATCTTTGAGCTCGAAGGTGCAGATGCTTGGAGCGTTACGAAGCCATTATTTTGGTTCTACGTGGGCGTAGCGTCTGAAGAGTGACATTTCTAGGTCACCACTACGGCACCCTTGCGGCTCTTACGTAGTAGAGCTGCAACCGTACGGTACCGTACGGGTAAAGGAGGCAGCCTGAACTGGCACAACCGTTAGGGGCAACTGGGACGGGAGCTGTGAGTCACCGCTCCGTGCAACTCAGGTCAATTGATCCTACCGTATTCCAGGCAGTGATACCCCAGAGCAAAGGCGTCGATAGTTCAGGTAGGTCGAGCCCTTGGTACCAGTACTGGTACCACCGTGCGATTTTCACTGTCGGCCAAATCTCAATCGAATGATTCGATTCAATCGAATTATTTGGGGGAAGATTCGAATGTCCGATTATAGTCATTCTTATTCCCAAAGAATGCGTCGTCAGGGCCTTTCCACTCTCACGAGGTTGTTGGCATGTGGCATGGGCCTCATTGAATTTTGTTCTGCCGGAAGCTGTAAGCTGTGAGGATGCTGCTTCGGTGAAGTCGCCGTCCACCACAACCATCGGCCTCCCTCCACTGTTCTGTGGAGTTACAGTTGATATTGTTACTACGGTATCAGTCAGAGGTATCCTTCGTTTTAGTAACCAGAGCCACCATGCCAGCAAAACGCAGCAGTGCGGCCACGGCCCGTCCCTCTGTGGACGCCAACGGGAAGGCAAAGGCCAAAATGACCGTAGAGGCAGTGTTTGCCCAATCGGCCATTGTGGACCGTGTGGGCGAATACCCTAAGTTTACCAAGGAGGAAATGCAATTGGGCAAGTTATTGGGTAAAGGAGGTTTTGGCAGTGTCTTTGAAATTCGTTCCTTTACACTCGGTGGCAAAAAAGTGCTGATGAATCAGAAGAAGGGATTTTCCGATGACCTGAATGATACGGACTATGGGAATGCCAGCAACAACCACCAAAGTGCTCGCATGTTTATTGCTCAGCACTGTCTCCGCAATAACAGTGACGCCCGCTATGCTGTCAAGCAGTTGAGCCCTGAAGTTATTTCAAATGCCGGCATGTTCTACCAAGGAATGATGGATATGGCACTCGAAACCAGGTTCATGAGTGACATACAGCATCCTAATATTGTCAAAATCAGGGTAAGTACGAGTCGAGTCAGTCAAGATGGTATGAAATGACTATGATGGTAGATTCATCCCCTTTCCGTTGCTCTGCTTGCGTGGATTTCTTTTTTGGGAATTGGATAGTCCATGGCTAAGTGTGAACCATACGATGAACGGTACTTTATCATCATGGACCGTCTCTATGATACTCTTGAACGACGTATTCAAAAGGTCTGGTTGCCCAAGGCCAAGGTTCAAAATTCCTTCTTTGGGAAAAATCTCTTAGATCGCAAGGGCGCAAAGAGGAATGATTTGTTGGAGGAACGTGTTGTTTATGCCTTTGATTTGGCAGCCGCAATTAACTATTTGCACGAACGTCAAATTCTGTATCGTGATATAAAGGTATGTATGTATGGGGCACTGGCGAGCTACATCCGTACGGGGAGTGGATGTCTCACCACTGTATTCTTCTCTTCCAACTAACTCTTGGCTGTTCCTTTCTTGTCTATGAACTTATTGTGTTTTCAGCCCGAGAACATTGGCTTCGATGTCCGTGATGACATCAAGTTGTTCGATTTTGGATTGGCCAAGGAATTGAGAGATGACCTAAAGACCGAAGACGGTCTCTACAAATTGACTGGAGATACTGGCTCACCTCGTTACATGGCACCAGGTGAGTACAAATAGAATTCATGTCAACTAAAGAGAAAGCAGTTGTCGTTATTTTTGTGAAGTCTCACATACCTGCTTTGTTCCTTCCTCCCGCCCCTGCTTCCATGTCCTGCTTGAAAACAGAGGTCGCTTTTGGAAAACCTTACAATAGCACCTGTGATACCTACTCTTTCTGCATCCTCTTATGGCAAATGCTAGCTCTCACCACTCCCTTTGAAGTTTACACAGTCAAGAAACTAAAGGAACGTGTCTGGAGTTCCATGGAAAAACGACCACTTATCAATGAAACCTGGTCAGCCAACTTAAAGCTACTCTTGAAGCGTGGCTGGGCCAACGATTTGACTGTCCGTTTCACCATGAAACAGGTCGAAGGCATTCTTCGCAAGGAATGTATCCGTATCCGTGATGGCAATGACAGCGGTCTTGAGCATCAACGTCGTCGTTCCACATTTGTCTTCCGTGGAAGCAAGGCTGGGGAAAAGGGTGCCCCTATCAATGTCAAACCAACACCTAGTCGTGCGGCAGTATTGAAGACAACTCACAACACTACTGCTGTTGCCGCCAAGGAGAAAAAGGAAGAACTGAGCGCCCAAAGTGCGCACTCGATGAGTGCACACATCACTTTTGACCTCTAAAAGGAGCATGCTAGGCCAGGTCGCTCTTTGGATGTGGGTGGCAAGCAAATGTTTGCCCCAAATAGAATTGACACTTGTGGCAGTGTCATAAAACGGCAACAATACACCCTCTGCAATTTTTGGATGGAAGGAAGCAACCATGGTTGAAGGAAGCTGGTGCAGCAAGGATGGGAGTTCTTGATGAACAGGAGCATTCCTCTTGTCTCCACACTAAAACCGTATTATAAAGATGTTATTTACTTCATGTTGATTTGATTTTGCAGTGACAGCAAATGTTAATAGTGATACGGATATCAAAGCGTACAAGAATAAAGTAAAACAAAGGAGATGGCATCACGACAATTCGTCATGGTGGACGTACCAGTGGAGCAATGCCAACAATAGCGGCAGGAGCATTATCAAGTCCAAAGACCGCACCGGTACCAGGTAGTGCAGTTCCCAGCGACCCTAGCAAACGCAATGTTCACTCAGCAAGAGTATCCGTCCGGTTAGCCGCAAGGACTGATTTCTAATTAGCTACCTAATCTCAAACTCGACGACTACTTGGCTACTTTCCACCGAGGTTCACACTCGCCAATGGAGGGCACTGCAGAGGCTGTCCAATGAGACCAACAATACCTGTGCCCGAGCCTCTTTTTGAAGCCATGGTACTGGTACTATTCCCTGCAGCGCTTGCCGCCAAACGGCTTTGTTGTTGCATGGCGCCGTCAAGCTCAGTGATCCTGGCAGCAAATCCATCCACATAGCTCTCCAAGACTTTCCGATCTTCACTGCCAATGCTCGCCTCCATAAGCAACGTTTCGGCCAGCAGCCCAGCCGATCTGTAGCAGGACCTCGCAGCCTCAAACTGTCCGAGAAGCTGCTTCACAGCTCCTTCCCTTCCGCAGGCCAGAGCATGGTTGTATATCAACTCTTCGACAGGAGTGACGGGATGGACTTCACTCTTTGAGGATTGCTGCTGTGCGTCTGTTGTTGGCTGGGCAGAATTCTCGAGTTTTCGAATCTCAATGTTCGCGGCATCTCCGCGATCCAGAACACCCTTGAATTGGCCACTCAGCCATCCAGCGGTGATGCCGCACTGCTTCTGTAATGCCAAAACTCGGTTCCGTTGGTCTAAGCTCAGATATTGCTGCTGTGACATGAACATGGTGAGATCCTTGTCCACGCTCTGTGCCGCAGTCACGGCACCCTTGAGCATTTGCAGGGTCTTTAGGTAGCACGACAAAGCCTCTTTGAAGTGTGCTTGCACAATTGCTCGAGTAGGTTTGATAATGTGCTTTGTTGCGGAGGTGGTACTGGGGCTCTTTCCAAAGGCGGGAGGATGAGACCTTGCCGGCATTCCAGAAGCCACAGAGGCTGAAGTACTGTCGTGACTGACGCAGGCAAATGGCATTTCCTCGACTTCATCTTCTTCTTGTTGCTTGCTACCATCATCTCTCATCGCCTTGTCTACGGACACCGATCTCGGTCGTCTTGACGTTGTCATGATCTCTGTAGAACTTGAATCGTCCGTGATAGCATCGTTCCCTTCCTCTTCTTCCACAACTCCTTCCATGGGCGTCGCCGAGAGCATGGATGACCCACTCTCCGTCATCAGGGACAACCGCAGTGCCAGGTATGCCCGTGCATCCCCAAGATGCGCCACACTCACCGCACGGCGGCCCACATCCTCTGCAGTGGCCAGCAACTTGGTGGCAGCTCCAATATGAGCCTCCCAATGATTCTTGGTTGCTTCGCTAGTGCTGTTGTTGTTATTGTCGTTGTTGCTTGTGTATCCAATCCGCTTTCCGCGCAGCAAACCCATGAGAGCCCCTCCTGTCCCTGGACTGGTGCTGAGCATACCCTTGGGGACCCGACAATGTAAATGTGCTTCGTTTGGCACCAGGTTCTCGCCCGCAGCTGGAGCCGTCGTTGGAGGGCTCAAAAAGTATCGAGGAGCAGATGTCGGAGGAGGAGACGGTTCCAGTCTTGTCCGCCGTTGATAGGACGACAGTTGCGTGTCATTGTTATTGCCTGTGGATGATGCCACAATGGCAGTGGGCGCAGCCGATCCATGTTCCACCATGACAAAGCCACTGTCATCTCCACTCGAGTTCTGCAAGGGTGATCCATCCCCACGACGCATGTGGGCGAGTTCGACATTGGGAGGCTGCTGTTGCCAGCCAATGTGTGTTTGTTGTTGTTGTCTGGCGGGTGTTGTTGTTTGCTGCTGTGCATCCAAGGAGGGAAGATTAGGTAAGTTGTTTGGCTGGAGCACATATCCCAGTGCACCGGGAGGACTTGGTTCCAATGGTTGTAGCATGGGTCCATTCCGCATAATTGGTTTGAGAGGAGGCGTGGAGAAGACCGGTGCCGGTCGCGCCGGAGGTTTGAGAGTGGGAGGCGTCGTTTGGAATGGAGGCGTGACTGGCGGTTGCTGCTGAGGAGGTGGTTGTTGCTGATGATGCGCCATGGTAGTTTGCACCGTGATGGTACTGTCCATGCCGGCGGAAGTCACCGGAGCGGCGTCTTCCGGGATGGACCCCAGGTTTTTGGATGGGCGGCGGCAGGTTCCACTATCAGCGTTGGTCACCCCTTCACATCCTAGCGCGACAAAGACATCACACGCTTCAAAAAACTCTTTGAATCCGGCCCGACTGAGAGGATTTCGGTTGAGTAGTAGCCGCAATAGGTTGACACAAGCTTTGCTGACCCGCACTTCCGGAGGCAGACGGACGGCCTTTCGTTGAATGTTTCGTAGCAAATCAATATGGTTCTCTCCGTGAAAGGGAGGCCGTCCAGCAATCATTTCAAACAAGACAGTCCCAACACTCCAGAGATCGGCCTTGGCATCATAGCTATTATTAAAAAGAAGGAAAAGAAGAAGCAGAACACAGACGTCAGTCAGAACCAGCAGAAGAAATACTTGTATTCATTCATTCCCAAGTCGTGCTATTGTATGGTTTGTATTGTATCGTACCGATGATGCTGTAGAATCTCTGGCGCCATATAGAGCGGACTGCCACAGAGCGTCTCTGCCAGTGATGTGGTTTTGAGATGCCGTGCAAAGCCAAAGTCCGCAATCTTGAGAATGAATCGCTCCGAGGGAAAATTGGTCTGTCGTCGAATGGCCTCCATTTCTTCGGTTCGTTCTGGGTCATGCATTTCATCCAGAGGCAGCGCTCCCATGAGCAACAAGTTCTGCGGCTTGATGTCCCGATGTACCAGTTCTTGATGCCACAAGAAGCGTAACCCCGCCGCCATGTCTCTCATGAGTCGTCGTGTGAGTCGTTCGGTCAAACGTCCCGTTCGTCGATTGCGAATCAACTGTTGTAGATCTCCGCCTCCACAATACTCTAGTAGCAAGTAGAAATGGTGTTCTGTCTTTTGGACATCTTGCAAACAGACAATGTTCTGATGTCGATATGTCTGGAGAATGGAGATTTCGATTTCCAGGTTTTGAAGTACCTTCTTGGTGAGCTTCTCACTGGTACGAGTAATCGCCTTGATGGCGACCGTGTCCGCACCCGCAGTGCTTTGGTGGACCTTGATTCCCTTGTAGACTGTGGCAAACGAGCCAGAACCCAGGCGTTCATGAAGGGCATACCCCGCCACGACCTTGATTTGTCGTTGTTGTTGTGATGAGGCTATAGAAGAAGAGGCAGTTCTCATGGCGAATTGGTCCGTCATCTTCTCTCTGAGTTTTTCTTTTTGTAATAATATATGGCTTGATAGCTAGCTGTTCGTGTGATCTAGCTAGTAGTTACTCATTCAACAGAGCACAATACACAACTAATGGAAATGGAACCGAACAATGGTACTGAATAGAACAGAACAAATGGCAAGCCACAACAAGTATGTTGAGAGTTCCTAATTTCTGTCGTCTTTGGTGTCATCAGAGCAGCAGAAGAAGGTCTGGAAGAACAAATGTCGAAGTGGCTCTCGCTACGGTATTGAATCGCCAACCACGGAGTTGGCTGGGTTAGAATTTTGTTGTGGTGGTCCCTTTTTTTTGGTCCTTTTTGGAGGGTTAGGGTTAGCCGGTATGGTTAAAAACTTGGGATATTTAGAGTATACCATTACGCGGTACCGGCCAGATGTAACCAAACTCCACTCCTCAATATAAAGGGGGTTTAGGTAGATTAGACCATTACGTGGTACCGGCCAGATGTAACCGGCCATATGTAACCAAACTCCACTCCTCAATATAAACGGTGGTTTAGGAAGATTAGACCATTACGCGGTACCGGCCAGATGTAACCAAACTCCACTGCTCAATATCTAAAAAATGGTTTTAGGTAGATTAGACCATTACACGGTACCGGCCAGATGTAACCAAACTCTTGTTGGACGGTCAAGATTTATCCGGTCTAGAAATTTAGCGTTAGTGTACCCGGATAAGCAGAAAGACCGCATCCTCGCAAGAATTTAAGGGAATCTGACATTCCAAAATCCAGATTCAACCTGCCCCAAGCTGGAAGATCACTTTTTCTTTCCAGCTCGCCCGAATCAGCTAGATAACCCTGATAACAATAGTAGCTACAGTGTTTTAACCCAACACTGGAAAGAAAAAGCTTTCTCTTTTGTATCATCCCATGGGATTGTAAGATAAGTTTTTATTGTATTGCTGAGAAAGGAGAAAGAGAGAGCCTACTGCGCAGTGCCACCCTTGAGGTGTGCAGCTAGCCTCAGTGAAAGGCCAACAACAACAGCAGGCTGTCAGAGCAGATTCACCCTGTTTACATCGAGTTTCCCCAAGGACAGGTATTGTAATAGTGCAAAAGAACTGAGAGATATGCAGTCTGAAAAGAACTGAGAAAACTCCACTCAAGTATTGAGTAGAGGTGTGCTGTAGCCTCACGATAAAGGCAAAGCAACAGAGCTGACAGTCAAGTTTCAACACCAAGAAATCGCGCGCTCTCAGGCCTATAAGCACCACGAAGAAGCACAACTCGACAGGACGACCGATTCCGACCAAACCAAGCATATCGGCAACGAGATGCCAACTAGCCGGTTCATGTTGATGCTTGAAGCAAGCTCAACGGAGCTATAGTCGTGGAGTAACGATCGTGCGAGTGATTCAGGTACCCATTTCGTGAGCAAAAGCCCATTAACGCGAAGCCGCTGATCACGTGCTACAACATCCAAACAAGCAAGCATCGAATCCAGATGTAACCATCCAGATCGATATCATCCAATGCAAGCCTACCGCAGATACAGCAACTTCAAGTCCTACAAGTACAATCCAGACAAGAACCAATCCTACAACAGCTATCTCCCAACCTCGAGAACAGCCAACGATAAGTACCGCTACCATTGGCAGCCACAGGAACCAAGATCAAGATCCACCAGTATCAAGATCGATTCATTTCCAACCATCCATCATCAACCACCATGACCATGTCCAACCAAGGACTACTAGTAGAGTACATCCATTCGGAGTCTCCACATCCAATCTTCCAATCGAAAGTTTACTACCTTCCAACACTTTACTTCCTTTCTTCCATAGGACCTTCAGTCCTTACATCAAGTGTCAAACACAGTCCGAACCATCGACAGTTCCAACTACAAACACATCAAGTAACGGCATCAACCGCCGCAATCCTTCAGCAATGGACCGTCACATCAGACAACCACGTGCCATTTTCGAACGACATCATCGATACCAACATCGTTGACAGTCTCGTTCCCATCTCATTGCAATGCTTCTCACCAATCAGTGAGAATGCCAATGGAACCTTTACAATATTCGTTTAGCTTAGCAATAATCGTACCCGTGGTATCCATTAGGGATCCACGCAGGAGTGTGTTGGACGGTCAAGATTTATCCGGTCTAGAAATTTAGCGTTAGCGTACCCGGATAAGCAGAAAGACCGCATCCTCGCAAGAATTTAAGGGAATCTGGCATTCCAAAATCCAGATTCAACCTGCCCAAAGCTGGAAGATCACTTTTCTTTCCAGCTCGCCCAAATCAGCTAGATAACCCTGATAAGAATAGTAGCTACAGTGTTTTTTAAAACCCAACAACTCTACTCCTCAATATAAAGGGGGTTTAGGTAGATTAGACCATTACGCGGTACCGTCCAGATGTAACCAAACTCCACTCCTCAATATAAACGGGGTTTAGGTAGATTAGACCACTTCGCGGTACCGGCCAAATGTAAACAACTTCCACTCCTCAATATAGAGGGGGTTTAGGTAGAATAGACCAATACGCGGTACCGGCCAGATGTAACCAAACTCCACTCCTCATCAATATAAAGGGGGTTTAGGTAGATTAGACCACTACGGACGGCCAGATGTACCGGCCAATGTACCAAACTCCACTCCTCAATAATAATATAAAAGGGGGTTTAGAGTAATGCACTACGCTAAAAGCTAGTGTAAGATCTTTCGAGTGTTTTGAGTTTGAGAGAAATGAAAGTTATGAGAGGATTAGAAAGCTATGAAAACTAATCAACGAGAGAGATCCACAATCAAAGGATCGTAGATCTGAACTCCCGCGGGAGACTGTAAAGTGTGATAGAGTAGGTTGCGGTAGCAATCCTACTCACTCCACGATCCAAAACGGAACGCGTGGAAGATTCGTCTAGCATTTATCTAGTAGCGTGGAATCTCTCCCAGCCAGCTAAATATCTAGCGAGATGTTTCACTCATCGACCTAGTATGACTAGCGGTCATGAGAACCCTGTCTCAATGACTATTCACGAAGACTCAGTCATGAGTCGAACTCAACCCTATCTAGGATCAGTCGGAATAAGGCTAAGAGCGCGTGTATTGGCATTCGCCCCTGACAAGGGTCACAGAAGGCACGACATCAGTCGGACAAGAGAACATATGAATTAAAGTGCGGGGCACTCTCCGGAGATTGGATGTAGACATGTGCTCGCACAGATTGGCAATCCTACAAGGGGATCAGGCCTTGTATGGGTGTAAATACCTTATGTTCCAAGTCTGGTAGACTGTGCCGCCATTGGCGGTAGCATGTCGGAGCCGTACAGTGCCATTTATTGAATCGGTCTATGTGGTAAGGACCTTTGTACTTTGGCTGACCGTACTTGCGGTGCTGATACTGATGATCTCAACAGTATCGTTGACATTGTGTTGATGAGGGACAAGTGTCGTGTTCTCCTTATCGTTTTTTTTCTGGATAAGTCGTTGGCGACGTTCCTTGATGTATTTCCAGTTTGCTTCTAAACGGATGTTGTGAATCTTGTCAGATTGACGCGCGTGAACTTGCGACGAAGTCCATGTTCATCCCGGAGAGTCTTCTGACCTCTGTGCGGAACTCACGTCCTCTGTCCATGATAACACTCAGCCGGTCATGGATACTGGGTAACCCTACGTCGTTTTAGAACGATGGTTACTTCGTCTGCTGTCTTGGGCAGACTCTTGGTAATCCCGAACCATTCGGTTACGGGATCATCATTGTCAGCAATGAATTGTACATGTGATCGTCTGATTCATGTATCGGGCTGGTAGTTCATTGGTCCAATGAATCTACGAAGTTCCTTCCTTTCGTAGGAAGGAGCGATATCTGGATGCATCTATTGTCCTTTAGTTAAGGGTTGGATTCCTTCTCGAGTAATCCAATGGTCTAGGATTACTCAACGTTCCTCCTTTCGAGGAAGGCCCTGGTAGTGTTGATTTTAAATCCGACTTCTATTCTTGGAAGTCTTTGGAAAAATTCATCTAACTATTCCAACGTGATTAGCTAGATCGTCGTCAGTTAGGATGAGTTGATCATCAATGTATGCACGGACATTTTCTAAGTTATGCATGCGTGTTTTCATCTTCCTTTGGAAGATGTCGGGGCTTTTAATAGGCCCATTGGCAATCGCTGGTATGGATTTCTCTGGATTCGTCATCGTAGTCTCGTGCATCCTTGGGATCGGACACGGTTTTAGCTTAATCTTTTTGTTCATTTCCCGGAAGTCGGAGATGAACCGTAGATCCATCCTTCTTGGGAATGATAAATGTTTGTGCCGTCCACTCGGAACAGTTTATCTTTTTAAGTACTCCTGCCTTGCAGAGACATTCAACCTCTTCTTGATAGAGTGTTGGTATGGACACGTGGAGTAGGGTGAGCCCTAGTATAATAGGATTTAGCGTCGGGACGAAGTTCTACTCGTAGTCGTCCATTTGCAACTCTCCCAAAGTACCATCGACTGGGTTGGAGCACTTGGTCGAGAAGGCATGAGGCAGTTCTTGCTCTTCTTATTTAACTGGTTTCGACTCTGGCACATCTGCCTTAAAAGTCAGTCTGTTCGTATGTTGCATCAAGAATCTTCTTGAGACTATCTGCACTGTCGCTGACAGCTGCAGGATCAGGAATGGAGAATTTCTCTTCTCTATCGGTATCGCCATCTTTCTCAGGGGAAAATATGCTGTTCCACTCCATTGACATGGTAGTGAAATCAAACTTGATTCTTAGGTCGGAGAGAGTGTCTTGACCTATGATCATGTCATGCGCCCCAAGTTCTTGGTGACGTGTAATTCCCATTCGATAATTCTATTAATCGTGGAACTCAGGAATCATAAGTGTGCCCTTACACTTCGTGCAGGGTTTAATTCCTTCAGAAGCAGTCCGTAGTGTTTGGACGCCCCCATGATATCTTCATGAGTAAATCTTAGCATGAGTTTGAGAATTAAGGTTCCGGATGCTCCTGTTCCAGTAAGCAACAGAGTGTAACTGGGTTTTTGTTTCCCTTTCTCGTCTGTTAAATCTAACATAGACGATAGTTTTGAGGGTCTTTTGTCTTGCGACGTTGATCGAGTTGTGTTGGCCATGGACGAAGTTAACGATGCTGAACAGATCGTCAGAGTCTAGTTGAGCAGTTGCTAGGCAATTATCTAATTTGCCGTAGACTTCATTAGTTGCAAACAAATCTTGTTTACTGTTTAGTGAGATATCTTCATCAACTTAGGTATGAAAATCCGAAACATGGTTCCGTTGAATCATCATCCTGGCCTAATCCTCAGACGGAGATCTCTCCACCGAATGATTGAAGTCGAATTCGGCAAGCGCCTTGTCAACGGCAGCCATTTTCTTGTCCATCATGTTGATGGATCCAACAGAGGAGTTGTCCTTGTTGTCGGAGTCGTCTGACTTGCGCTTGGCAACATGGTTGCATTCGCTTTTCTTCTTGCGATAGCCTTGACCGCAGCGTTGGAGACTTTCTTCATAAGACAGAGAGTTCCTTCTTGGTGTAGGTTTGGCGTCGTTGGACTTGCGTTTCCAAGTCTTGTTCTTGTTGTACGCTGGCTTGCTATTGTTGTCAGACGAGGACTGAGACTGGCTTTGAGCTTCTTCAGAGTCATGCAGTCAGCAGTGTTGTGAGTGCTGGACTCGTGGTAGTCGCACCACTTTTCTTTCGTTCTTGGAAGATGGTCGTTGTTGCGAGTAGACTTGTATTCTTGCTTTGTTTCTTCTTCGAAGGAGCTGCTTGGCATCACCGCCCTTGTCAAGTCTTCGAGGATTCCTTGCGTTCGCAGAACCCAATGGTTGCTCCAATAGGAGCTGAGAAAGGATCGAAGTTGTGTTCGTCCATCTTCTTCATCCACGAGCGTGGAATTCCATGACAAACAATGTCAATGACTTCGTCATGGTTCAATGTTGGTTGGGTCCAAAAGGTGGTAGACGAGGAAGTTCATCGGCTTCATCCGACTGAGGTTGTTGACATAAGCCCGAGTAGTCATATCAGCAGGCTTACGCATCTTGCGGCGCATGAAGCGTTTCTGCTTTTCAAGAGCCTTGTAGGGACAGACCGCTTCGACACAGGCATTTATGCCAAAGTAATGTCAGTGTCGTCCAAAGCAGGCGAGCTGCTCCGTTCCAGGAGCCTGGAAACGCGCTTGGAAAGCGGCTTCGTCTTCACCGCCACGTACGTCGCGTGGAGGAATCGCGTTGACTGCAATCTGCGCAAGGCATTCAACGTATTTCACGTGGCTGCACAGCTAGATTCGTAACTGCTCTTGGCAGAGCTAGAAGTCATCTCCTTGAGGAGGTATGTTTGTCTTCAGGCGTAGCAATGGCGAGCCCGACGAAGACCTTCTCCATACGTCCAGCCCATTGATGGTTTGACGTGGAGCTCAGATCCATTGATGATTTGACCTTGAAGGTGTACTTGGCGCTGTTAGCATCTGCTGGAACAGTGCGAAGTTTGTAGGTGGTAGCGCGAGAATCGTCGATTTCGCATTCATCGTCGAGGTCGATGAGAGGAAGGATTGGTTTGTCGCGCAGCTTAGACTCGAAGCTGGTGTACGCGTCTTGGCAATCTTCATGGTGAGGAATAGGTTGAGGGTAGCTGAAAGCTATTGAGTTTGTTAACAAAATGCACTACGCTAAAAGCTAGTGTAAAGATCTTTCGAGTGTTTTGAGTTTGAGAGAATGAAAGTTATGAGAGGATTAGAAAGCTATGAAAACTAATCAACGAGAGAGATCCACAATCAAAGGATCGTAGATCTGAACTCCCGCGGGAGACTGTAAAGTGTGATAGAGTAGGTTGCGGTAGCAATCCTACTCACTCCACGATCCAAAAACGGAACGCGTGGAAGATTCGTCTAGCATTTATCTAGTAGCGTGGAATCTCTCCACGCCAGCTAAATAATCTAGCACGATGTTTCACCATCGACCTAGTATGACTAGCGGTCATGAGAACCTGTCTCAATGAATATTCACGAAAACTCAGTCATGAGTCGAACTCAACCCTATCTAGGATCGAGTCGCGAATAAGGCTAAGAGCCGTGTATTGCAAGATTATACCATTACGCAGCAGCTATCTAAAGCACGTATACATTCTGGGAGCCCATAGCAGTAAGTATTAGTTATTTGCCAATCAAGTTACGACCCTTTTTGCTATTTCTATTTCCGTGGTTGGCGCCACCGGAGGCATCTTGTTCAATCGATTCATTCGAATCGAATCGTGCACTACGCAACTGACGGACGAATGAGTCCAGTCACTAAATGGACGTCAAGCGAAGAGGAAGAACCACCTCAGCGAGAAAGATAGATGACGAACACTTTCCCGGGCGAACCGTAACCGCCCGCCATGCACCCAAGCCACCACGGATGCTCACTTTTTCTCTCTTTGTTCTTGTTGCCGCCGATCCTTCTTACTTTCTTCGTCGGATTGCTCAATCAATTGCTGCCCGAGAGTACCAGTTAGTTTTGCTTTTATTAAAGTTAATTTTGCCTTTATAAAAACAAACCATCTCGACAGTATCAAGCAAGCTACCCTAGCATTTGAAAAGAATTGGATACCATGGCTCCCGATGCCGACAAGCTGCGAAAGAGGACACCAGTGACCGTGCACGACAACGACGAGGATGCCGCCACCAAAGAACGCACCTCGAATCTCAAGTCTCTCCAAGCCAACGAGGTGGTCATTGATGGTGTCATTTACGATATTCACTCGTTTGATCATCCCGGTGGTGATTCCATTAATGTCTTTGGAGGCAATGATGTCACGGTGCCCTACAAAATGATCCATCCCTACCATACCGACAAGCATTTGGAAAAGATGAAGCGTGTGGGCGTGGTGCCGGGTTATGTCTCGGAGTAAGTACCGTAATGGAAGGCAATTGTATGGATGGATGGATGTGTAATGCATGATACCCCATTATCCATTGTCTCATTATTGCCATGATTCGATTCAATCTTCTAACTCTACATGTACTATTGCTCACTGTTGTATCAGGTACAAGTTCGATACCGAGTTTGAGAGAGAAATCAAAAAGGAAGTCTTCCAGATTGTCCGACGAGGAAAGGAGTTTGGAACACCTGGATACTTCTTCCGGGCGTTTTTCTACATTGCCTTGGCCTTGTACCTACAGTATCAGTGGATGCAACAAACCAGCTACACGCTTGCCATTATCTACGGAGTCTCCATGGCATGCATCGGATTGAATGTGCAGCACGATGCCAACCACGGAGCCGCCTCTCGAAACGTATGGGTTAACAACCTACTTGGATTCGGTGCCGATTTCATTGGAGGATGCAAGTGGCTATGGATGGAAAAACACTGGACCCATCATGCTTACACCAATCACCACGAAAAGGATCCCGATGGATTGGCCGCCGAACCCATGCTCTTATTCAACGATTATCCACTTGGTAGTCCCAAACGAAGTGCCATGCATGCCTACCAGGCATTCTACTTTGTCGTTGTCTTGGCAGGATATTGGCATTCGTCCGTCTTTGACATTCCCCAAATATGGACGCTCCAGGATGGCGGTGCCACCGGTGCCGGAATGAAGCTCGACAACAATCCCTGGATCCGCAGCAGGACGTACTATGCCTTGGCATTGCGGGCACTCTACTATGCCTGCAACATCATCATTCCACTCTACAATGACTTTTCCTGGAGCACCGTCGCACACATTAACGTCATGGGCATTGCCGGAAGTCTCGCATTGGGATTGCTCTTTACCCTCTCGCACAATTTTGAAAATGCCGACCGCGATCCCACCGCCGATGTCCGCAACAAGGGAGAACCCGTCTGCTGGTTCAAGGCCCAAGTCGAGACATCCAGTACGTACGGTGGTATGATTGCCGGATGGCTCACCGGTGGACTCAACTTTCAAATCGAGCATCATCTCTTTCCCCGCATGAGTTCTGCGTGGTACCCCTACATTGCTCCTACGGTGCGAAAGATTTGCAAAAAACATGGCGTCCAGTATGTGTATTACCCGTGGGTGTGGCAGAACATGTACTCGACACTCAAATACACTCATGAAGTGGGAAACGCCTCGCACTGGAAGCAAAACCCGTTCAAGGGTGAACAGTAACTTGATTGTCTGAATAAATTAAATAAAAGAAGCTAGCACATTTGATGACAGTATCATAGATAGGAAGGTTTTCAAATGCAGATGATTAATCTTTGGCCATTGCCTTGGTGGACCAGATCCTTGATCAAGATGGCGCACCGTAGAAAGGATTTGTCTCGAAGTTGAACTAGACGTTGGATAATTCAACGAAGCTCTCGTTGCAAATGTTTCGTATTTAGAACAAAGCAACCGTAAGCCCTGATACTTCCAGTGCAAGAAGAGGATGGACTCTCGCTTTTTCTTATCCTAACTAAGCCTGGCTCCCCTCTGGCTTCTGTAGACTGATCCACTTGCAGCCAGTCTATAGCTAGTACTAGTAGGGAGATAGTAATTCTTACAAATAGTCCACTGTAAAATGGCAGAGCCCCTTTGACAGCTCGGTACCGTACACCATGGATACCGGTTATTCTGCACGACATGCATTTCCAAGATGCAACAAAAATTTTCCATCCAGGGACTCGAACCCTGAACCTACAGATTAGAAGTCTGTCGCGCTACCTTTGCGCTGCGAAGGACAGAATCTAATGAGTGGCATGTTGCAGCCATTGGTGTAGTGGTGATGATGGTGACTTACCCAGATGGAACTCCGGGCGATTGCCACTTTCGCAGAAAAATAAATTGTATATATACTCGCAAATAATGTGACTAAGTCGGCTACAGAAAATTACAGCTTGGCTCCACTCCCCCTTGCTGATGTGGGCCGTACTGCATCAAAGCCTCCACATGCTTTTACAGTGGGCAATGCTGCTTCCAGCTTCCAGGGCATGATGCAATCTGGAGCTGTTTGCGCCTCAACTAAAACAATGAGGGGTTTAGAGTAGGTGGATTAATGTAAAACGTGTATCCCCCATGGATGTGAAAGAAATCCTTCGTGGTAACTCAAGTACTGGTACCAGTGTAATCTGGCTACTGTTGCTGAATCCATTGGTAAGCTCAAGTGCATGGACCAGCAGTGAGAAGCTGTGATAGTTTTTCACAGAGTTGAGGACTCCGTCCAATTCGAACCAAGCCAAGTAGCTGTGTCGTAATCGAATAGCCTACTATTCGACGCAGGTGTCCTTTAGTTAGTTGAGAATTATGACTACTAGTAGTAGTCAAGTGGTACCCGAATGATGTAGGCACATGGAGATGATTTGCTAGCTCTCTTTTCGAATTCTTTGGTTTGATTTGCTTTCCTTTACTCCACCATGCTGAACCTGAATCATGAACAACTGGTGATTACTCACTGGTCCAGTTCAAGGAAAACCTTTGGTCCAACCTGTCTTAAGTTCTTCGGAATCCGGCGAGATAAAGTGCTCAGTCAGAATGGCAATATCATAAACATCCTTCATCGTCTCTGGAGTGTTCGTTTCTCTAAAGTCAGGATTCAGGACATCCTCCATCAATTTGTGTCCCTTGTGGCAAGGAGTGAAACCAAACAACAATCGCCCGGGTCCATCCGAGACATTGCACCAAGCGTGAGGTGTTCCGCGGGGCACAAAGATAGTTTCGCCGGCCTTCACGTCAAGGACAGATGGGCCCGCAATCACCTTGAATTGGCCTTCCAAAAACGTGAAGTACTCATCTTCTGTGAAATGAACGTGAACAGGTGTGCCTGCTCCAGGGGGCACTCGCTCTTCATACAAACACATGCGTTCCGCCGTGTCGCTGGGCTCTACCAGGAGCTGCAAGCTGCGAGGACCGGGGTGCTCGATAAAAACCTTGGGACGAGGCTCTTTTTGGGAAGCAAACACGGTGTCTTCCTTCCAGCGAGCCAAAAAGGGGGTATCTTGCTCTGATTTGGCAACAGTGGAAGTAAATGTGGCCTTGGCCCCGATTGCAGCTGTTTGAGGCATCTGGCGGCGAGCAGGAGCTATCACCCCCGTGGAAGGAATCCAACGACGAGGATTTCGAGCAATTGTACTAGTTGGGAATCTCATGGCTGATGTCTGATGTCTGGCACTGTTAGAAAAAAGGCGGCAGAACACTTAGTTACTTCCAAGGAGTAACGCTTTTTAGACTGTTTCTGGTCTTCCAACGCGGTTTGGTATCGGTGGACAGAGTCCTTGCTCCGAGTATGATGGTGCTGAATCGAATCTTCTGCACCGTCGGCAACAGGCGGCTGGACTTCAAACAACAGGTGGCTGGTGGCTGGATCTGGCTATTGGATCTTTGGATGTGATTGTTAATAATAATAATATTTTGGTTTTCGTTCGTATCTTGCCAGAAGCGGCACAAGCGAGGACAAGTTCGCCACACAGTTAAGAGGACACAATCGAGTTTGCTTCGTGGTTGAATTGTCAGCGCCTGGAGAAGCCTTGCTCACTACTAGTCCAGAAAAGAAGGGGATGCGATTCAACAACATCAGACAAATACCCTACTTACTACGAAACCACAAAGGAAGTTTAACCAAAAACAGCACTAAGCAACATTCTATCTAAAAGGGTCCTGCCTTGGCAATATGCAGGTCGTTCATGGCAATGACATCATGGACACAATGCTCAAAGGAACTTCCCCAGTGAGCACATGCTCGCTCGGCTGCTTCACGTGCAACACTCTCACCCAACCTAAGTCTGCGTTCTTGGGCAGTCTTGGCGGAAGATTTGCAGACTTGTGGGTGTTGTGGAGCTCTGTTGGCCTGAAATAGCTTGTCTTCATGAGATTGGACTTGCCACTCCTGTCCAAATTGATCTGGATCTTTGATGGCTGTGACGCCATCTCTTGCCAACATTGCCCCAGTATGGTAATCACCTAGGAGTCCTACACTGGCTCCAAATGTATTAGCTGTTGCATGTTTCAGTTCAACATTGACCATGTCCTTGAATGTTGTGATAATGATCTGTTCCTCGCCACCAAGGTGGATGTCAAACTTGTGGTGTTTATCATCAATTTCGGTATGGTTGACCATGTACTTGTCTCCCATTATGAGTGGTGTCCCTGCTTTGGAAATGCTATCGATCATGTATTCTCCAAAACTGGAGACTTCCAAGACATCATCACCAATCTTGACAGCAGCACTTTCAATGTAGGAGTATCCATAGCGAGCCTTTGTACGGATGTGAATATCAAGGTTTGTGTTGCCACCATCAATGCCCTGTGATTGCAGGAATACAAGATCACACTCTCCATGATAGTCTGAAGGTTTATGCAATGATTTTCAGATGTCTGGTGAGCTACAGGAAGGACCAGGGGTGATTCGATTCAATGCCTTCCAACCGCTGCATGCAGGTACATACCATAATATTCTCCTGACCACTTCTGGAAGTGAGGATCTCCAAAGGATTTGCCGCCTCTTACTGGAGTACATGTTGTTGCTGCGCGGGAATCACACATCTCTTGAAAAGTACTGCTAGTTGTCCCACCGGGCACCAAGTTCACGGGGTCTCCAGTTTGGGCATCACAGCATCCATTCCCACATGGAACGGCGATGCGGCCAGTGGAATACCATGTCTCCCAGCAAAAGTTATCCAGGTTGTAGCAGCGATGATTTTCATGGCAGTTTGGATCACACGAACCTGCACAGCCAAATGGGTCGTTGTTCTGTTGTAATGCTCTCCGGCCATTTTCACTCCAACAGCAGTATGGCTTGTTCTGATCGAGCTGAGGTTCTCTCAGGGCATGAGCAGAACAGTAGTTTGACTGGTTAGGAATGTTACAGTTTGCTCCATCCCAAAAAACAGTGGGAATGTTTGTAACAGCATCACAGCATCTGTATTGGTAGGTTTGGTGATTTAGACTTGAACCAGGACCTGTATTGCATCGTTGGTACCCCAAGTCGGTGCAAAATGCTTCCATGGTCTTGCATTGTACCCCACATGATTCCAAGCATGGGTTGCAAGTGGCACCTCCGAATCCACAACAGTAATCATTTCCGTCCTGTGGAGGAGGCGAGTTGACCCCAGTAATGTTGGCAGTAACCAGGGGCAACAAAAAAGAAAGTACAAAGAGGAGCTTCATCTCTAGCCAGAGGATGGCAAGAAGTAGGTAAATAGCTAACGAAGGGCTGTTTTGAATTTGTGTGTACCATGCCATTAGCCAGGCATCTGGCGGCAGCATCTATCTGTGTACTGGTACCAGCCGCAATGCAAACAAGTAAGTTTGCAGATGCCCGTTTCTTGACCGAAATCGTGTCCGGTGGAGCAAACAAAAAGATGCCCGTGATTGTTTGTCACTTTGTCACTTGCTCGTGGAGATTGATCTCGTGGTGGTGACTGGTACCGGTACAGCGGTAAAGCTGCGGTAAAGCTTACGGTACATGATGCAAATGTTTTGACTGGACTGACTCAGGAGTCAGGAGCCTAGTACATGTAGTACTAGTAGTACCAGTACTGGAGCTGTCATGCGCGCTGCCTGGTGAACGGCAGTCGCACATTGATTCCTAAGTTTTTGAGGTGACGTCATCGGAATCGCGCCTCAGCCTCGTGCCCAATTTCTCACTCCAACATTCCAAGGGTACCTCCAACGGCTGTGCCCCTGACGTGGCAAGGGCGAACCTGAAAGGGAAACGGGCAAAAAAGGCTGGCGTGAGAGAACTCCAACAGACAAACATGCGGGCGACGCAACCCATCAGAATTGCATATTCCAAAACCACGAATGCTGAGGATTAGAACCCTGTTTCTCGACAACGTAAATACAATGAACGCACCTGTTTAGACCATGGTCCCTCCTTTTTGACAAATACCAACACAATGCCGTCCTCGTTAATGCCGCGATGCCGTCGTCATTGTCCCATTATTTGTTTGGTTTCCAAAAAAAAAGATGCATAGATTCGGTCGAGAAGTCAAAAAAGTGCGAAAGTGATCTGAAAACAGCAGCGGGTTTGTCCTAATTTACGTTACCTCTGTAGAAACTTTACCCGGTTCTCTCGCCAAACAATAATACTTAACAAACAAACCGCCTCAACGAAACAAACAGCATTTTCGGTGCTTATGTGACCCATCCCGCAAGACCAATCCACCCCTAAAGTTCTTCAATAATTACGAACCAATTGGGTACTGTTTTGTATGCGTACAAATTTTCCTTTAAGTAAATGAAATGGTTTACTCAAACGGAATCACCGTTTGTCAGAAAGTCTTAAGTAATTTAGCGAAGCGTGACAAACCGTGAATGAATGATCTATATATTTCCGCTAAATAACCATGTCACAATGTACCGCAAAAAATGCACACACGCACCTGTTCAGACTACTAAAATTCACACACTCGTATGTTAATGTGGCACCCAAAGCCAAACAGCGATTTACATCCAATGTCTCGACACGAAACAACAAGTAGCAAGTGCAAAGACGCTACCGCTACAAAGACTATAAGATAATGGTGGATAATGAAATTGAAAACCACTCTACTACTAAGATTAGATCATTAAACTACTAGATAACCATGTAACTGGAGGAGACTTCGCTCAGGCTGCTATCGGTGGCACTGGAATCGGCATCCAGCGAGTCGTCAATGGAGGATTCCTCTGGGCTCCAGGATTCCTCCCGTTCCTCTCGCAATTCCCAAAGCCTGTCGATATCCTCTGGCCTGTAACGTAGCCTAGCCATTCCTTCGAGAAAAGCTGACCATAGGTTCTGTGCATGCTTGCGTCTCCACATGCACTCATATAAGTACTCCTGCAAATTGCTGCCTTCACGTTGTGACTCTGGGACATTCTTCTTCAGAACTCGCCAGTTGCCCTCAATAGTCTGGGTGTGTGTTCCATCCTCGGCAACGAACTCATACTTGTGGCACAATGTCCTGTGAGTGTAGCCGTACCCGGGTAAATCTCCAATACGGTTGTAGCCGCCATGCTTGTCCGTGTTGATTGTAGTTCCTGGTCGGACAAAAGCCATGATGAGTGGCAGCAGAGTGTTGCCCTTTCTATCCGGGACAACTGCCAAAGCCAGTTTCCTTTCGCCACCCCGTTCCACCATTCCGAAAACCCAATCCGCATTGACACACCTGCCACGATTGTCCTTCCTACGACCAAATTTACCTTCGTCCGCCTCCACCACACACCCTGGGCCTCCGAGCATGTAGTCTTCCTTGTCCGCTTGCAGGACCATCTCGATTACCATCCTTCTGAAATGTCTATACCATGTCCCGACTGTGCCTTCGGAGATACCAATTAAAGTCGCTGATGTTCTCGCAGTAACCTTCAGTAGCCAAAGGTAGGCGATCCAGAGAACCTGGCTCTTCTTTATCTTGACATGCATCAGGACACTTCCCTTTTGGATAGAACATTCGAATCCAGTTCCTTTGGACTTCCAAGTCCAGTGACAGCTGCTGTTTTGGCACTGCATTGACTCGAGTTCTCCATCGTCACTGTGGTAGGCGACCATTTCACCACTGCACTGGTCACACTTCGTAGGAATGATGAACTGACAGTTGAAGGCACGGCACCTGACAGTGTTTCGTTTATTGGGTGAGTAACGAAGTTGACGGGTGCACCTGGGACAGGACCCCGGTGGACGAATGACTCCCTTCTTATAGAAGTAGTCAATTGCCTTTGCCTCGTCTGTCAGAACAGGTTCAAGTTCGGAAAAGGAAGGCATAACGCCCCCATCCTCCAGATGGTAAACATCGCGCTCGGCACGTCTCCTCCTCTGGCCTCGACTCAGAGTTCCGTCACCACGTCTGTTGATGTTGTCGTGCCTCACCCTGTTACGATTGGAACGACGCCGACGCCTCCACCATGGCCGGTATGAGCCCCTCGCAGGCATTGCGATATCGTTTGTAGCTACAGGGGAAAAAAAGTTTGCCACCGTTTTATGGTTTCAATTTATGCGATCTTAGAAACACCAACGAATACCGCACCGGGCCAGCGATGCATTGCCGCCAATCATTGTTCCAAAGCCGCGATGGCAGCCTTTTGGATAACTAGGGGCTGCTAAACGAGCCCTGCGGGTGTTGTTCTATTATATTAATTACTAGATAATCAAGTAGGCCGCTATCCATCTCCAAAGTGCCTATGTACCGTCCGCCAAAGGGATGGATGCTTTCTTAGTCGACGAAACAGACGAATTTGGGGAATTTTATAGCCGGTTATGCCTCGCGTGGCACAGAATCATTGGCTCCCACTATTTGAAATTCAAATATCACGGATCGCTCCCTCCAATGGGGCTGCCACCGAGGAATTGGAAGCATTGTTGATTGTCGCCGATCGCTCACAAAATGTCAAACCAGTACGCCCGTGTTAGGTACGCATTGAGGGGCCGGTGCATCATGTCTCCTCCGCCCATGTCTCCAGCTTCGCCCAAATTTGGATTCTTCACTCAAGAATCGCCGCAGGTTCTCCCGCCAACATCGCCACTGAAGGGAAGAGGAAAGCCGAAGGACGATCGCAACTATGAGACTCCTCAAAAAGAGAACATCGAACCTCAAAAAAAGACTTCAAAAAGGCCTCCACTTACCCCCGCAGGTGCCCCCGCTCCAAAGTTGTCTCATGTGCAAGTTCCCTCAATCGAGAAGCAGATCAACCAGCAACTCGCCGATAGCATGCGCCAGGAGGATGCGAGCGGTAGATATTCAGGTGGGCACATGAACTACGGTGAGTCTCCATTCATGTTTATGTTGGCAGACGTATTCATAACCAGCCGAACGAAAACTCACCGGCTTGCATGGTGCGACCGTGGGGGGAAATCAGGATCGCCGGATTCTCAAGCAACCCAACCATTCCCTTCGGAGGATGAAGAAGAAGAAGTAGTAGACGAAGGGACGCTGAAGCAGTGGTTGATCGAAGAATCAGAAAGCAACGCCAGGATTCTCAAAAAACTGGGAACTCCCACTCCCAAAAAGAAGAAGCAACCAGAGAATGGAGGAGGGAAGAAGTTGAAACTTCCCAAAGGCGGGAAAGCCAAAGTTGACAACATAGTGAAGAAAATCCGAGAGGCAGTGACCACACAGTTCGCCACAAACCCAAGGCTGATGGAAATGTCTGCAGACGAAATCGCTAACAGATTGGCGGCCGTTGCGATGGAGGTATCTACGGAGGCAGCGGCTAGGCCATCAGCGGTCAACCATGCCAGGAGCATCGCCAAGAAGAAGAATCCACAAGATATTTAGGCAGAATCGGAACAGAAAGAGCGAAAAAGTGAATGTGAAAGAGAAATAGTGAGCGGTCCCCATGGCCCTTTAAGTAACGAAACGTCTGGTAGTGGTAAATTAGTTGATACGGATTTACACTCTAAATAATAAATACCCCCGAAGAAATGTCTCGCCAATCTTCAGCGATGAGTTTGCGAGACGAAATTCTGGAGGGTGGTGTGGCCCGTGTGCACCGACGTTGGTCTCCAGAAAGGCCCGCTCCTGTGACTGCGATAGAGGTGCCCCGAATCATGAGTATGACGTCTGGGGCATTCTTCTTCTTGGCAACCCATTCCAAAGGCCACTCGGTATATCGGCGGCGCGAGCGTCCCCGGCCGGCCAGAAGCCATTCGAGCTGGGATATGGGGCCCAGTGAGAGTCCAAAAGCAAAACAATGTAAATAACAAATTCGACTCACCAGGAGCTAAAAAAGTAGACTAGCAAATAACGAAAGGCAATGAGGTGAGAGGCTCATATGGTATTTGCGTACAACCAGTGCAGGGATGGATCAAGCTTGTAGCCCTCCTCAACATCTATATGAGCGGGAAGTCAGTAGCTGCCTTGGGTTGTAGAGTAGTGCGCGTAAAACAATAAGGTGCTTTCTGGTACGTAGAAAATTGTATGGGGCATCTAAACTGCTGTTTGGAAGGCCTCAAAAGAGTGGAATAAAGGCTGCTAGAACGTCGCAGCTGCAAGGCTTGGTGCCAAACCGATTGAGAGTTAAGCAGATGTATACCTACTCCAGCTATCTGTAGCTGCTCAAGCTGGGGGGTGAACTGTGTATTGCAAATGTCCAATTGCAAAACGTTGTTTTTGTTGACTGTTGGCAGTCGTTATTTTACTGTTGTACTGGGACTTTAAATAAATTTTTTCTAAAATAAAAATGCAAAAACGAATTCATTTTAATGTAAAAATATGATGTTTTTGACTTTTTTACCAAACATATTTATATAGCTACATTGCACGACAACATTACGCGACTCTATTACAAAATTTATATGATAATTCTAACATAAGAACATAGCTCTAAAACATCAGATCACAGCTCTGACCACAAAATATAGTTCTAATCGCGAAAATGTAGCTCTATTGCGCGAAAAATGTAACTCTAACGTAATGATGTATACTTCTATCACCCAAAAATATAGTTTGGCAGCTAAATTGCATGGAATAATACAGACAAAGTTCCATGTATGACGACAATAAATGCATTTCATATGACAACAAAAAGCTAACATACATTTGAATAGTTCTGTGACGCGTCTCACCAGCACAGAAATCTTACACAAGTTCTAATATGTACAACAACAAATCTAAAACACGTGATATGTAGCCTAACACACAAACGCCAAAATGTAGTAGACTCTTTAACGTACCAGACTGATTCAGAAACTTGACAGCATGCGAAAATTCTATTACACTCCTTGACACCAAAACCAAATTGCACGATGATTAGTAATTCCAAAGCTAAAACGCGCGAAAGTCTAGCTCTCTCACTCATGTAACACCATAACAAAGATAATGTATTTCACATGATAATAAAGCTACTAAAACAACACGAGAATAGTTCTCTCACGTGTGTACTAGAAAGAGACTCACTAGAATACAACAACAAAGCTAAAATACTCATCAGAATGTACTAGTCAAAAATGACATGCGAGAGCGGCACTCTAATACTACACAAGGAAGCTACTCTAAAAACCAAAATGTAGCTCTGTCATGATATAGACACAACTAAAACCGAGAAAAGTATTTTTTCATGCATCTAAAACACAACATATGAGAAAGTCTCTGCAACGCGTGTGTGACATTAGAAAGAGAACTGAAATTTAAACAATCAAAAATGCCAAGAATATAATTCTAACATGCAAGAAAATGTAGCTGTAACACAAAAAAATGTAAGACATAGCTCTAATGCGCGAAAACAAGCAAAAAATCAGCTCTAACACACAAAAGTCGCTCTAACACGAAAAATGTAATTTATCACGCGACATTGAAGCAGTTTGCATTACATAATAAGAGCAATCTAAAATATGCAAAATATAGCTCTTGCTCTTGCCAAGTGTGATATGACAACCAATGTATTTCACAAGAAATAAAGCAAAAATACGCGACGAAATATATTTCTCTTACGTTTGTGCCAAAAAGAGATCTTGCTGACATAGAAGTTTTGCTTAATAACAAAGTGAAATATGCGAGTATGTATTTCAAAAACATAAGAGTCGAGCTGTAAACAAGCAAGAATCTAACTCAAACACGCGAAAATCTAACTCAAACGCGCGAGAATCTAGCTCAAACACGCGAGAATCTAGCTCAAACACGCGAGAATCTAGCTCTCATACATAAGAATGTAGCTACCTGTATTATGCGATAATGAGCTGCATGACATACGAATACAACTATATTACGCGAAATTTAAGATAACTTTGCAATTCCAAATGACATCAAAATTACATTCGTGATAAAGTACGCTGTGTGGCTAATTCAACATTACGCGAATTACGATTACGAAATTTTGCACGAAATTTTGCACGAAATTTTGCACGAAATTTTGCACGAAATTTTGCATGAAATTTTGCACGACATTTTTGCACGACATTTTTGCATGCATTTTGACGCGACATTTTTGCATGCATTTTGACGCGACATTTTGACGCGACATTTTGACGCGACACTTTGACGCGACATTTTGACGCGACATTTTGACGCGACATTTTGACACGACATTCTTTTTTACACGACATTTTTGCACGACTTTTTTGCACGACATTTTTGCATGCAATTTTACGCGACATTTTACGCGACATTTTTACACGACATTTTTACACGACATTTTTGCACGACGTTTTTGCATAACGTTTAAAAGAATACTCACAATGATGTATTTCATTAATTTAATTAGACAACTTAGCCAGTGGGTATTGGAGTCCCCTTTGGGGTATACCCACTGGCGACATGAATGATTTAATAGATCATTAAATTGTTTTTGGGCTTCTCAATTAAGAATGTTTAAAAATTGAGCAAAATTCAAGCATTTATCCTTTTTATTTTAGATTTATTTTAATATTTCTGAATAATATTAGTTTGTAGAAAAACTTGTATATATAACAGAAAAATATTTTAATATTACATAAATTAGTTGTATTGTTATAATCTATTTATTTATATATTTATATATTTGTTACTTTTACTAGTTTAATTAGTTTTATTGCCAATAATTACTGAATCATTGTTAAAAACAGATACCTTTCAGCTGTTTTCTGAAGCCATACTTTAGATTATAGGAATTGCATTTGACTCTGACATTGTTTTGGATTCGGGCACTGTTAAAATAGACAATGTTGTAGCAGAGCTAGTAGCAGTGCTGATGATGCAGCAACGAGGATGGGTCAATCACGAGGCGACAACCCATGTCCCTTAACTTCATATGTTGAATTTTATTAATATTTCCCTGGCTGGTGGGGTCAAATCTCTCTGCCCCATGTTATCAGTTTAGGGCACCCGGTAGCAGCACAGTAGACAAGTGGCCAGCCAAATTGATTCTATTCAAAAATTGTTTATATGCATACGGTACGTGTTCCCTGTTTTCTTGTGTTTATATGCATACGGTACGTGTTCCCTGTTTTCTTGTGTTCCCGCGCGTCCTTGTTCCAGCCACAAGGCCACCAGCTCCACTTCAACCGTACTGGTACTATATACTGTACCGTACCGCACCAACCATGAGCATGTTATTGACAAAAGCAATTCGAGTAGACCGCTTGGTCTTGACAGCGTCGGCTGCAGTGGGATCAGCGCTGATTCTAGTAGGGGGATATAATTCGACTCGCTGCGAAAAAATGTCCGACCATCGGATTCGCAAACGTTCGACTGTCATCAAGGCCAACACGGGGGTAGTGGCAATACACCCGAAGCGAGCCAACACACGAGAAGAGTTATCCAAAATCCGTGGTGGCCAAGACGAGATCTTTCGTCGATGGGAATTGGACGAAGATGGTTGGCGCGAGTTGCCAGCCAGAGCCTGGCCGAAATACCAACCCAACCCAGAGCAATTGGCCGGCATTCAAGTGGAAGTGGAACGGCACGGCTGCAAGGCTTCCTCTCCTTCGAGCACGGATATTTGTCAGTCTCTGCTCTTCAACGTGGCGACTGCTCTGGTCTTTTACAGCGTGGATCCAGTGGCAGGATTTCAACAATACGAACAACTTGCTTGGCGCCATGGCAACGTGGATGCCATGGTAGCCTGTGGCATCATTTTAGTGGAAGGGTTGGGTGGATTTCGTCACCGAGAGGCAGAAGGTGTCGATTGGCTCCAGAAAGCAGTCACATTGGAGTCCACTCAGGGAATGTACGAGCTTGGGACTGTCTACTACACGGGTATCGACGATGTCGTAGACGAGGATCCCGAAGTAGCATTTTCCTTGTTTCAAAAAGCAGCCGACAAAGGACACGTAGGAGCAATGTATATGATGGCGGATTGTTTGATTGAAGGAGAGGGAACCAAAATGGACGTTGCCAGAGCCATCCCTCTGCTGTATCAAGCAGCAGACCAAGGGCACCGCTATGCAAGGCAGCGTGTAAGAGAGTTGCTCAACATGAAAGCCTACAAATAGCAACACTCTGGCTACTACGGTACAAGTAGAGGTGGCAGAGATGACACTAATGAGACGATTCAATCTACTTCTAGGATTTTATTTGAAGCCCTCTCCAGTTCTCTTCATAGGATCCGTCTTAGGATCCGTCTTAGGGAGAATCTTTGGTGTCCAAACAGCACAACAGGAATCTTGCTCACCTTCACTCCAAACGAAAATGGCAAGTTTCGCAGCGAAAAAACAGCTGGCGATTCCTTTGTTTCTTGGTTGGTTGGCCAAAGCCTACAAATTTCCCCAGCATTGCTTGCTAAAACTCTGTCATGCCAGACATGGATGGCTCGGCACTGGCATGGTTGCGCAGCAATAACATATCCTCATTGCCTCCTACATCTTCCCCGTCGTCGTCGGCTAATTGGACCACATGAATGGTCAAGAATTCTCGGGCGATCCAAATGGCAATCTGTGGAATGAGCAGCAGTGCCACCGTGCCAGCAAAACACCAGGCAGCATCCCGAATGGCCACACAAACATCCATTCCATAGGCGTCAATCAACGCCACTGGAGGCTGGACCCGCAGTCGACAGGCAATTCCGAGATACGCCCACAAAATGAGGACGGGAACCACCCAATTTCGTGGTCCACTGTTGTTGCCTCGTACCACCAGGTAGGCTCCTGCGCAGGGCAGGAGCAAGGCCATGGTAACAATGTCGGCAGCCAACTGGAGCCCATGTTGTGTTCTGCAATAATACCGAAAGATCATGCTCCCACGTGATGCTAACAACGGCAAGAGCCAACCGATGTGGAGATCAAATGGAAAGCGAAATACCCAGTATTTCCATTTGTGTGGCGTGGTGGTAGATTGATGTTCTTCTTGTTTGGCTTGCATCCACAAGAGACTGGCCACGGTGCCAGCCAAGGCGACCCATGCCGGAATGATCCATTTGAGACAAAACAATAGAGTGGCCAGACTTTGTAGCATTCCAATGTGAAAATACGAGCACGCCACTCCCGTGACGACTTCGCTTCCTGATCGCACTTTGGGAAGAAGCTGTACCAATACAAAAATCCCTTCCCAACAAAGTACAGGGATCCACAAATAATCCCCTGCCCACTGAATGGGTGTGAGAAGTGTTTCGTATTGTGGAAGGGTGGTCACGGTCCACGTCGACGGCAGCCAGGAAGGATGAGCTCGTTCCACCACGCCGCTGCCAATGGCAATGCTGACTGTCAAGTATACCAAAAAGGTACATAAATTCAGGTAATTCAGTCCGCTCAATTCCGAGTATCTCCGTCGTCCTGTAGGTTGTTGCTGTTCCACAAGTAGGGGCAATGCCATGGGATGATCGTCACTCCAACGATCCTCCTCAAAGACTTCGTCTCGACTGTAGCTGGGTATCAAGTAATCGGGCAGCAGCGGCTCATCATTGTTGACATACTGACTGGTCGGCGGCACTACCACGGCATGTTCATCACCATCGAAAATGAACTGTTCCGAGCTCAGATTGTACGTGGGTGGATTGCTGTCTGGTGCTGCCGTGTCGAAAAAGTCGTCAACTTCGCCGTCATCATCCATCATCTCAAAGGGCGCCTGAGTCGTGCGGTCGCGATCTTCCGCCATGGTGCCTCTTTTTTGTAGAGGAAAATTGGAACTGACTTGGTGCAATCAGGACTTCCAGATCTTCTCCTGGGAAAATGAAGAAGAGAGAGAATAAATAGAAAGAGAGATCGCACGATGTACTAGCCTACTAGTCTTGCTGGAGTATTGAGAGATGGTCTTCTATGGTGACAAGTGCCCGTGGTGCGTTGATGGTTCCTTCTTCGATTAATAACAATAATAATATGATTGCAAAACCGAATGCAACCTCAACAGCTGTGCAGGTTCATCTATCTGATTCTTGTAACCACGACAATGGATGAGGGGCCCGTCTCAACTAGCTAGCAGTCCACTAGCTAGCTGGGCCAGCCCTTTTAGAGAGTTTATCATTCAAAATGTTGCACTGAAACATGTCACAGCTGATACATTTGGAGGTAGTGAAGAACTTCTAGGTGATTACCATACAGGCAATGTTGGCAGGAGTGGCAAGATTTATCTCAAGACAAGTCAGGCCAGTGGAGCTCCACAACACCCACAAGCCTCTACTCTATTCCGCACTCCACTGATATATGTGTAGGGTACCGTACAGGCCGTCAGCAACGAGCTAGAGAAGTGCACGAGAATTCGCCACCCTATGCACTCTATGGACGTGTTGCGCGGTACCGGTACCATACAGGCCGTCCGCAACGAGGTAAGAGCAGTCACTAAAAAATAGGTCGCACCCAATATTGGTCGATTGGTTTTTAGCTGGAACCCAAATCGAAACCTATTCAGTCACTAACTCATTTCGGTCGAGGTTTAGGTTGCGACCGAAATCGACCGTCGTTCCACTGGTCGATTCAAGGTCACTTTGCGACCAGTGGATCGACAGGTCGCTGTTTTGGTTGTAGCCACATCAACACACAAAAGCCTCATCAACAGGCATAGCAACAGCATAGCAACAGGCATAGCAATACCTGCAACAAGGATATCCCATGGAAGAAGTAGCAATGAGCCGTAGCAGCTCAAAGAGCTCGCTGAAAGAGGAAGAGGATTGGGACGAACTCACCTCTGGGGCAACTAGGCGAGCCATGACGGATCAAGTCGTCGTAGACTTGCTATTTGATAGCTCTGTTGATGGTCCTGGAGAGTTCATTGATCACCGTACGCTGCCAAGACGAGAAAGGAAGAAGTACGATCATGCCAGGGCGAAGGAGTGCATCATGTCGGATTATCTTGGGCTCGCACCTCTATTCAACGACCGGCAGTTCCAAGTCTTCTTCCGTATCTCTCGTTCTAGGATGCAGTGTTTCATTGAAGACTTCGGTGGCACTGGAGACAAGTATTATTGCGGGAAGGGAGGATCATGCCTTGAAGCACGTATCCTGCTTCCACTGAAGACTCTTGCCTATGGCGTGCCGCCCCACACCTTCTGCGATTATTTCCAGATGTCTTTTCAATTTGCCCGCGATTGCTGCGACAAATTTGACAGCACTCTTTCCGCAATTTACAAGGCGAGTATCTTCGTCTTCCAACCCGTTCGGATGTAAAAAACATCACGAAATGCCACAAAGCAACCCATGGAATTGACGGAATGTTTGGTTATCTTGATTGCATGCACACGATTTGGAAGAATTGCCCTGTTGGATGGCAGGGTAGCTATTTGGGAGCCAAAGGGAAGCCAACGATTGTTTTGGAGGCGATCTGTGACCAGCAATTATTTTTTTGGCATGCCTCGTATGATACGTAGGAACGCTGAATGACAAAACAATTCTGGAAATTTCACCGTTCCTCGAATCGTTGGTGGATGGATCTTTTGAGGCCAATGAAGTGACTGCCGTGCCCTTCAAGATTGCCAATCAGCAATTCCACCGAACTTATGTCTTGGTGGATGGAATTTACCCTCCATTGGCAAGGTTTGTCAAGGGCATTACCGAACCTGTGGGAAGTGGCAAGAGAACATTCACCAAATGGCAGGAGTCAGCACGGAAAGATATTGAGCGTGCCTTTGGTGTGCTTCAGGGAAAATTCCAATACACACACCGTCCTTTGATGGAAATGAAATTGGAGAAGATCGGTAAGAGAGTAACGACTTGCATATTGCTGCATAATATGTGTGCTTCGGACCGAGTGATGGAAGGTGCATGTCGAGCCCGTTACAATCCCTGCAACTCGATCATTGACGAAGGCGAAATTGCGATACCATCAGATCGTGCTGGGCTTCAAGGAGCTAGCCAAGCCGACGACCTCTCTAGGATTGGATTTGAGGGCCGCAGTAATGTGGAAATACACAACATATCGAGACGAGAGAAATGGGCTGCCGTGAAAAGCACAGTGAATCACGAGGAATTGCAGGCAGCATTGGTCAAAGAATGTTTGACATTGAGCGAACAATTTTTTCAAACCTAATAACTAAAATATTTGTTAATTCTCTAGGTTCCTGTTGACAAACTAGACACCAGCTTCATCGTTGATATTGTTGGGAGACTGGATGCCACTAACATCAGGTGGATGGGTGATACCAGCTCCAGCAGGGACAGGGGAAGCACGGTTGCTGGTCAATCCACTAGCAACGGTGGCAGTTCCTGCAGCAGTAACAGTGGTTGGGGCACAATTCATAAGAAAGTGTTCAAGTGGAGTCGCTTCCAAAATCATGGCCTCGTCCAATTTCTGGTTCGCTTCATCCATACGGCCAAAATCTTTCAAGGTCTTGGCAAACGAATAGGCCTGAGAGACAGCACGCTTCTTGGCTTGAATCGCATTCTGTTCACGGTTGCTAATTGTCATACGATCCATAGCAGCAATCTTGCGGTCCTCGATAAGATTGATATCCAATGTATTCTTCAACTGAGCCTTCGTCTGTTTGTTTCCAGTAGGACGAGGCTGATTAGTTCCCATGACAGAGGCGACTTCATTGGTATCAGAAGCAGGAGCAGCCTTATCGGATCCAAGATCAACAACACGATTCTCAATATCAGCTGCCTCTTCGTCACTGATATTGGGATCAAATCTAGGAAGTGCCTTCAAGGTATCAAGACACCGGCGAATTTGAAATCCTTATTGAGTTTGTCCTTGTACTCGGCAATTGCAGCATTGATGTAGTCCTCTTCAGACCATCCAGACTTCAAGGGTTTTTTCACAAAGCGCCAGCAACCAATGAAGTGGTTCATACAAGGCAACATGTGCCGAGACCAACGGTTCTGGCATGATTTCTGGTTCCTCGCAGTCAATTGGGGATCTTCTTCCTGTCGGATTGCATTGTAGTTCAAACACAAATTCCCCCAAAACACATCTCCTTTTTCTTTGGCACCTTTGACAAGGTTTGTTGTGGTTTTGCGGAAGGCCCGGGCCAAAATGGAATCCTCTTCTTCAGTCCATTTGAGGTTGGCCGCATTGAGAGTCTCCTTCTTACTGGTACGAGCTCAGGAGCTTTCACAGCATCCCCTTTTTGGTCCTCTTCCTTGGAGGCAATGGAGGCTTGCCAGTGGGCTTCTTGCGGCAGCCTTGGCGGCAGCAATCTTCTTCAAGGGGACGTCGTCATCGTCATCTTCGTCGTCATCGTGTCATCATCTTCGTCAGAATCGTCATCCGACTCCTCTTCCTCGTCAAAATCCTTGCCACGCTTCTTGCTATGGCTCCTGGTACTCTTGGCAGGTGTAGAAACTGCCTCTACTTCTTCTTCTTCTTCTTCATCAGATGATGACTTGACTGATGCGGCAGATTCATCTTGACGCTTCTTCCTGATGTCTGCTGCGGCCTTGTTGTGCTTCTCACAAAGCCATCTCCCTTTCCCTAGCTCCTGCAGTCTTCATTGTCAAACACAAAGCAACCAAAGCAACCAAAGCAACCAAAGCAATCAATAAAGCACACTGATGAGTGAGCGAAATGAGCTCGAGCGAAAGTTTCCACGAACGAACGACCGTTTCGGCGACCTATGTTGCAACCGAAATTTTAGTGATTGAATTGGTCAATTAGGTATCAGTCGACCGATATGGCGACCCAATTTTAGTGAATGAAAAAGGTCGCCGTTTGGGTCGACCAGATAGGTATCTATTTGGGAACGACCAATAGTGCGACCTATATTTTTAGTGACTGCTCTAAGTGCACGACAACACCTGTGAATAGCATAACATTTGAAATAGCTAGTCCATACCGGTACATGTATGATACCAAGCCTGGACATGAGGCCCAAAAGCTTCCGTCAGAAGCTGCCAGTACTGTACCGGTCAGCCCTAACAAGAGATGCTACAGGATGCATCATTATTGTAGATTGATTACTCATGCTTACGTTGCTGCCTTTACAGTACCATGCCTGCGTGGCACACAGGTTTCCTTTGAGTGACTGACTAACGATACCTGGACGATTTATGCTGGCTGTGTTGTCGCTTTTTGTTGTTGCTGTTTTGCTTCATTTTCCGACTTCGTGCAGGAAACAACTCCTCCAACTCTTGACACCGTTGCATTTCGTAGTTTTGAGCCCGATGTTGCAATCGTACATCTTCTGGTTTGCGTCGAGCTTCCTTTTGCAGACTCGTTTTGAATTTTTCTTGTGATGTGCATTCTTCTACCAAGTATTCCTGATAGGCATTCTCGACCCAACGTTCTACTTGTGAAAGTTGGTATCGATCACGATAGTACGTTCGCATGAATTTGTCAGTCACATAGTAGGGAATGTCCTTGACACCGGTCAATTTTGTGGCCAGAGGATTGGTGAAGGGTTGCTTGTGCTGCAAAAGATATGAACAACCAGTGGGGAAGTGGTTAGTGAGACATGCTCGTCTAAGAAAGCCAGATTCGATGGAATGATTTGATCGACTTACCACCAGACTGAAATATTTGTTGTTTCCGGGCATACTAGCACTTCCACCTCCACCAAATGCACCAGAGGAATCATTGGTACCAAAAAAGGAGAGCAGCATAATGATTAACAGCGGTAGCAATTGTAACAATTGACCAAATCCGGCTTGTTGCTGTTGTTGTGGTTGCTGCTGTCCTGCTTGTTGTGGTCGTCGTCCACGAAAGCCCTGTTGAGGCATTCCCCCAAACCCAAATCCATTGGTATACACGTGAAATCCTGGTCCACCGCCACGCATACCTCCCGGCATGCCTCCTCCACCAAAAAACATGTTGAAAATTTCTTCCGGTGTCGGTTCACCACCACGGCCACCACCACGATGAAAATGCCGGGCCATCCCGCCTCCACCTCCTCCACGATTGTCGGGATCTTCATCTCCATATCGATCGTAAATGGTTCGTTTGTTTTCATCCGAGAGTGTGGCATATGCCAGCCCAACTGCCTTGAAGGCTTCGTCGGCATGAGGAGCTCCATTTTTGTCGGGGTGCAATTTGAGTGCTAATTTTCGGTATGCCTTTTTGATTTCGGCTTCGGATGCACTTGACTGAATTCCCAAGACACGGTAATGGGCTCCCCGGCCACCTTCCTTGGACGCTAGTACTTTTTTCACAATTTGGACTTGGTCGTCCGTGTAGGCACGGCCATTTTCGTTGGTACCGCCCCCGCCTCCATTGCTTGTTGTTCCATTGCTCGTGGCGCGAGTAGTCGATGCTTGACGAGGTTGTTGTGGTTTTGGATCGGCTTTTTTGTTGTTGTTGTTATTGTTGTTCTCTTTATCATCCATGAGTTGCTTGGCTTGCTCCAAAAGAGATTCCACACCGGGAAGAGGAAACAATTGCAGACTCTTGGAGAGGAGTTTGACGGCCCGCGGTAGATTGCCAGCTCTCAGAGCGTTCACCCCCATATCTTTTACGCGTTCGGCTTCTGGTTTGTTGGCCTGAGGAGACGACGATGACACGACGCACATGGTTTTGTTATGGAGGAAGAGTAATAGAGGAGCAAATTCGAAAACACCAATAGGTTGAAGCGACGGAACAAGTAATGGAAGGAAATAAAGGTAGAGATGGTTCTGTGAGATATGATCGACTGTGGAAACAAATCAAGTTTCGCTGCCAGCTCCACGCTGGTAACGGACATCCAATAGTTGAATCACTCACCTCCATAGTGCTCTTTTAAATATGTTGGAATATCGAAGAAGGAAGTAGACTGGTTGTGCTCGGATGATTTTAGTCGTACGCAATGCTACTTCGGAGGACCGGGCTACAAGCGGTAAGAGGAAGTTGGACCCACGAGAGGAGAGAACTGAATGAATCGAATCGAATCGACCTTGGCAATGACAAGACTTTGAACGAACAATGATGAACTACTTCGTGTGATTAACCGGCGCCTTCCGTCATTGTCAGCATGCAAGAGACGTCCAAACATGACGGTTGAGCAACGTGGAAACATGCGCGTCGCGTGTGTGTGGTGCGCGAAAGATTCGTTAGGGTTATGGGAAGTTGCATATTCAGTTAGGGTTAAAGGTAATACTGGTTCGTTGACGTTTACCGGTCGTCTGCAGCCAGTGCCGATCGTGCCAATGCCGACCATGGGCATTAGACTAGCAGTACCGATATCTTTGTCTCAGCTGCTTTAGTGTCGAAGGCAACCACAATGCGACAGTGTAGAAGAAAGGCAAAACTCGTAGTAGCGCTGTTGTTATGGTCAGTTGTTGGTCAAGGCGCTGCGTTTGTGACGACGCCTCGCGTTTCCAAAACAATAGCCAGGCCCGGTGATACCCTCCATTTCGACCTGTGGAAACCGAGTGGTTTAAGCAGCAGAAGACCGAGCCATCTTCACGAAACTTTTTCAAGAGAAGAACACAGCTGTGGTGGCGCGACAATTTGCCGCCAGCTCTCTTTTGAGATATCCAAACAGCTACCCCCAAGAAAAAAGAAAAGACGACAACCCGAGCCACTGCTACAGCGACTTTCCTTCCAGTACGACTGCGACATTCTCCAATTACAACAACAACAACAACAACAACAGAGCCATGTTCCCACAGAAAAACAGATTGGTGTCATTTTAATCCATCCCATTGGTGTGGGAATTGGAAAGTGGTTCTACAATCGATTGCTGGAATCACTCGACACAATCTACCACCAACAATCCAAATCCAACCAAACCAACACCAACTTGATTGTCGCCGCTCCCGATTTGCTTGCCAGTGGCACGGCTGCCAATCCCATGATGTATGCAAAGGATGCAGATTGCATCCCCCTGACGGATGTTTCCGACATGCCCTTCTTGCGAGTCAACGACTGGGCGGCACAAATTGGTCGCTTAATGGCCAATTTGGAACGGGATTATGCCATTGACGAATGGTGCTTGGTGGCCAATGGAGGATGTTCACCCATTGCCCTGCAAGTAGCACAGCAATCAGTCCAATATCAGAGGGACAAATTGTTTCAACAGCAACAACAACCACAAAGTACCAGTTCGTTCGAATCGCATTTCTTTCAACGACCCGTCACGCATGTCATCTTGTCATCTTGTCGTCGGTGCCACGATTGCCCTTTTTTCTTCCTCCAAAGGACGAGGATATCACGAAACAAGCCAAATTGGACAAGATCCAGAAATCCTACAAGACACTCTGTGGTCTGACGGGAAAGTTGTTTTGGTGGTATGCACTCCGTAACGACGGTGCGTTTATCCAAACGTTTAGCGAACGCAATCTGGTGGCCGATGCGGCCAACCTGGGCGATGCTTGGACTCGTAATTGCGTCGCCACGGCGCGCATGAATCAAGGAACTAGTCGCTTCTCGACGTTTGCCTTTTTGGCTGGATCACTCCAAGCCGACGGATGCCGCGATAGTTTGCTCACGTTGCGGAACAGCGGTGTCTTGGTGGATCTCATTCGAGGGAGAGATGGACGTCGAAATCGTGCCAAGAGTTGGTTTTGGCAACGAAAGAAGAGCAAGACCAAAAGCACAATCCAACGGGAAACGCTCCAACAAGTGTTGCAGAGAAACGGCAATCGAGGCAATGTCATTGAAGTCGGCGGTCGGATCAGTTTGGCACACGAAGACGGCCCAGGATATGCAAAGGCCCTCTTGGAATTTCTGGCTCGTCCAGCAGTGGTGGAGACCACACGGTAGCCAAATATATCATGCTCTTTAGCGGTATTGGAAGTGACCAACCAAAATGGCAACCAGTTCGGCAATCGTTGGCTGGAGCTCTTCTTACGAAGTCCGTCAGAACGGGTCAGGTCGTTTCGGCTTTTCGTGCAGTTGCACAAAAGATGTTGTGGGTGGACCCAGCAGACAGTGAACGTGTGCCGAGAGAAAGGCACGGTTGGTTTGCAGCTGCCAGCTTACGGTCATTCGGTTCAGTGGATGAGGACATGTGAAATTGCAGCCGACATTCGTCCAATCAACACAACTCCGAGGGTCACACCAAAACGTCGTCTTATGCCCAACAACATGCACCACAGCTCCGGCTGATCCACGGAGGCTTCGCCAGGCATTCCCGTCAACCCGACGCCTTGAAACCCTTTCCGCAAGAGGGCAGCGGAGTGGGGTTCCTGCAGTCCAATGCAGTAGGAGTGACAGTCGAATGTGCTTGGAACCTCTGGAGCTCTGGCTCGTCTGCAGTCGTACAGTGCTTTGCCTCGTATGTCCCGCACGCAGGACCCCCTTCCTCCACGAGAAAGTGAGGAGGCTGCGTCTGGATATGGCCGTTGCTTGGACATTGCTCATACCAAAACATGCAGATTTTGGCTACCGGTACGAACCATGTCGGTCATGGCTACTGAAGATTCGGCAACAGGAGACTAGAACACGGAAAGGCACGCTCCACCTAGTAAACTCTAGCTTAAACTCTCCTGGTTTCTTCAACCTGCACCGCAAAGCAAGGCCGAAGCAACCAAGGCCTATTGCAGGAAGAGAATGAGGATGGTAACGGTGAGCTTCACGGTATTCTCGTGGGTAATTTGGGTTAGAACGGCAAGTGCTTCTTTGACGAAGCTGTGTTGCCAACTCCGATGAGGATTCGTGGGAGGTGCAACCAATACATCCTCCTGTGCGCTATGGAAGCTCCTGGAACAGGGTGAATGTTGGACCACTCGCTTCCTGGTATTGTTGAGTCTCTTTGCTTTGGCGGACCCGTTCCTTCTCAGTTGCTAATCAACAAACCCCTTCCATGAGAGGCTCCAAGTTGCTAGAACTTGAGCTTTATGACTTAGGCCAGGTCCTCTTCTTTGTAGAACCGAGAACTAGCACAGCCACCATAAAGTGGAATTGCAACGCTTATTTATTTGATCAAATCCTCCTTGCTGAACCCAAGAAAAAGTACCTAATTTCTTCGGTAGACTAGCTAGTCTCCAGGTCGTGGTTGAGTGGTATCTCGTGCTGGCATCTGTTGACTCCAAGTACAAGAAGTAAGTGGTACCAGTGCACCTTTGTGCCTTTCAATTTAAGGGTGATAAGGAATATGGAGCCACTTGCACCGGTAGCCCCAGAGCAAGGTCCTCTTAGAAGCGAGGAGAGTCCACTTTCAGAGGCCCACCACCATCCAGGAGCGAAAGAGCCAGCGAAAGCTAAAAGCTCTTTTGTGCATTGGGCGAACACGTTGAGCTACGGTGAAATGAATTATGACATAGGCCTGTCTTGCTCCACCGATCCTAGCTGATCCTTCAATGAAATACCGTTGCTATGGCCAGGCAACACAAGGCGACGCACCTTGATGCCCTCTTGTGCACTTCAATAGCTGCTTTGATGTCACAGTGAATCCAGAAGTAAAACAGATCTCTATATCCTATTCTCAGTTGCCAAGAGTTAGTGGTTTGCTGGGGGAGTCAGTGTTCATTCTTCTTTTTAATAAAGTTTCACTCAATAACTCTAAATATTTCTGAAAGAAAAGAAGAATGCAATTAAAGACCCAAGACACTCAAGGTTAGGAACAGCTTCCCCTCAGCTCTAAAAGGATCTTCGTCGTTTCAGTTCCCGCGTTCCCAGTGCCCAAAGATTGCCGGCAACTGGCTCTAAAACTCAAATAAATACATGTTCGAGGTTCGGTGTTGCAGGACAAAGAGCTTTCACTGAGAACACTACAGCACTACAATGTCATGACTAGCTAGTAAACAACCAACTACACGTACAGGTACCCTCCGTAACTCTGCTAGCTAGAAGACTAGAAGAGCGTGAGCTGAGCACGCAAGCTAAGCTAGCCAGGCAGAAAGTGTTCCTCCATTGCTGCGAATGTGCGAAAGCTCTGGGGAAGTGCGAAGTGCCAAAGCAGCAGGCCACCTTTCAAAAGATGTCCTCCTTCTAAATCTATCTCTTTAGAAAAGGCCTAATGTCTGTTGGCCATTGGCCACAATATTATTAGATAACCGGCAGTCACTTGGATGCTGCAATACTGGTGAAATTGCAATCCCTTGGGATAATTAAATTTGTACCCCATAGGGAAGTATGGGAAGTCAAATCCTGGGGGCTGCACAGTCGAATCGTCAGTCTGACTCGTGTAAAAGCGCGCAAAACGCGGGAAACTTTGTTAGTACTGATAATTTGTATAGTAAAAACATGTCCACCCGGGCGACATTTGTCTCACATCTTTTGAGTTTATGGCGTGAAGTTTAGATGTGAAGGTCGTTGTGGATCGAGGCAAACCAATTTGAAAAGATACCTCCACCCCCATCAACAGCCATGGAGTCGACCAGAGGCAAATGCAACATCATCACCAAAGTGAATCCAACTCTGCACATCCATCCGCATAGGTATCCCTGAGCCTCTGCTTGAACTTGATCCAAAACGGGCAACACTTTGTTAGGGCTTGTCGACAGTAGCATAGCCAGAATGCCTAGGACAGAGAATGACGAACGGATCGAGGAGGCCCTCATTCCCATGCTGAAGCGGAATGCCAGTATGCATGGCTTTTTCATACCTCTCAAGTATTGGGCTCAACGTGTGAATCAGAAGCTGGACATGGCAATGGAAGATGGAGCTCTGAAGAAGACTATGTTAGAGTCGAAGTGCAATATCCTCAACCGCGAATTGGATGCATGTGATGAAGACAGAGCCAAGTACTCACCTATCACCAAGATCAAGCTGGAGCATAGAAAGATCTCACAGAGGAGACAGTCAATTATCAGGCTCAGTGATGGAAGGAAGAAGGTCTTCTTCATTTGTGTGGAGACAGAGGAACAGAAAGAGTACAAACCAGATCCAACGAAGCCGCCGCCAACCGAAAAGCAGAGAACTGCATACTTCCAGAGGCAATACAACACATGGGCCAACCGAGCAGACCATGTGATGAGGCTGCATGAGGTTCGTGAGGATAGTGAGACCGAAGAACAACAACAACAACAACCACAGCCCAATGCACTGACCATAACAACCACAACTGCGACAACAGAGACCCAACAGCAGCAGCAGCCTAGGACTGTGACTCCAACCAACTTCGATACGGACGAGCAACCGATAACCGAAGCGCCAACCGAACCGAGCGAGGAGACGGAAGAACTGAAACCGGAATCCATCTTGGGAGATCCATCAAACAGCGATCTCTTTGCCATCTTTGATGGACTTGTGAACCCAGAGTTCCTCAATAGCCCTGACTTCTTTATTGAGAAGGAAGAAAATGATGTCCTCGACACACTCAGAGACCGGATCCGGCGGCGGGGTATCGAACTGCAGAAAGAAAAGCATAAGGAGCATTACGAGATGTTAGATAAAGAAAATCCATTAGCACAAATAGACTGCAGCAGGCACGAACCTGCTCTTAATAAGTTCTGTCTCCCACCAAACAAGAGAGCTATCCAGAGTGTTGTCCAGATAGCACTGAAGATCGAAAATGACACAGATGGGATGGCTGGCCTGTTTCAGCTTCCCAAGTATGGTGGGGGAGCAGGCAAAGGCCATGGCCGTCGACTTGTTGCAATCATTCCTTCCAACAACCTCAAGACGTTCTTGCACAATGGGAAGCAGTGGTACCCTCGACTCCTTGAAGCGTCCATAGGCAGCGGCATGGCTGGCGATGATGCCGGCTTTGCCTTGATCAAGCTTGCTCGATACCATCACGAGCAATCATTCCACGACGTCTGCCGAACTACGCTGGAATTTAGACAGAAGAAGATGGATCCATACCTTCAGATGTTGATGATGAGGAAAGCCAACCTCACATATGAAACAATGCGCACCATAAGACCTTACCTCAATGCAGAGAAATGTAATCCTTTTCAGTCAGAGAGAGCTATCCGCGCACTTGAGGCAACGCCAAACATCTCCCCAATCTTCACAGAATTTGAAGAGGACGGTGTAAAGTGCAATGCTTGGTGTCTTCCATGCCAAGATGTAATCGCCGAAGAGAAGCAGAAGAGAGAGTCGCTTCAAGAAGACGAGATGCATGCCATGATAACAGCCGACCATGGGCAAGGGGCCATGAGAGTGACTCTTGGTCTCCGGTTCATTGGAGGCGGCAAGGTCATCGATGAAGTCGACCACTTGGTAGGTCATGTTGACTGTAGAAAGGACAGTCGAGAAGTCTTGGACGCCAGCAAAGTCATCTCAAATATCAACGGAGCAATCAAAGCCATAGCGACTCTCGGAATCCTTCACTTGATTATCTTGTGCCAAGGCGACTTGAAGTGGGTGTCGGAAGCCCTTGGAAAGCCCGGCATGTCGACCTGCCACTGTCCTTGGTGCAAAAACAGGCGGCACAAGTTTCAACGGGGAGGAAAATACCACCCGCTTGATATTGTGGAACCATGGACTCTTGCAAAGATGAAGGAACACTTGGAGTTGTTGGAGTCCGGCAAGTTGAGTAGGAATAATGCAGACGAAGCCAACGGCATAGTCCATGCCCCCTTGCTAGACATAGAGCCAAGCAACTTCATTTTCTGCCCTCTCCACGGAATAGTCTTGCATGCGCACCATGTGTTCGAGCACTTCCAAAAGTATCTCAGCCAACGAATCCAATCAATCCCTCTCGAGCTGCTGCTGGCTCGAGACAAGAAGACAGCATGCGAGCGACTGGTCCAAGAAACAAAGCAGACGGCATTGGATTTGGAGGAGCAACTCAAGGGAATGGAAGTAGACCTTGAGTATCTTCGTAGAGGTGGAGCCTTTGAAGATGATGATGAACATCACAAGGAGCAATTCCTTCTTCTTGAAGGAGCCGCAACACAGACCAGGAAGGCTCTGGAGGCAGCAAAGGAGAAACACGAAGAAGCCAAATCAACATTGAAGACTGTGAGCAGCAAGCTTACCAAAATGCAAAACAACAAGAAGGAGTACGGAAAGCAAACCGAAGACTTGTGGCTTACCATTGAGAAGACACTCAGGAAAAATTACAACGTGAAGGCGTCCTCGTATCATGGCGGCGCAATGGAAGGCAACGAGTGTCGGAGGCTAATGAGACACGCCACCGAGATAATGGGAGACGTGAAGATAGCGGCGATGGAATACTTGAGTGCGCTTTCTGAAGAGGAGAGAGCCAAGAGAGCTGATGAAGAGGAGATTGATCTCCACCTTGGGGCGTTTGCAAGACTCCTTCAGTACATGGATGTCATGGCCCACTATGCGTACCAACCATATGGCAGCTTGACGGATGGAGATCTTGATGATGCCGAGAGGATTGTCCGGGACGCAGTCGAGCTCTGGATGAACCTGCTGCCAACTGTGACCATGAAAGTCCATACATGGGCCCATTTCCTTGAACACTTGCGCCGATTCCGAGGACTCAAGAGCCACACAGAGGAACCAATCGAGAGGGCCCATCAAGATGGGAAACGGCATGACGTTCGGCTCAAAGCAGTCCGCGACTTTGTGAAGAAGACCAACAACATTCAAAGGCACACGGCAATCGCCAATGATGAGAGAGTAAAGGCAGCACAAGCGGACATGGAGAAGAAGAGGCCTACGAGGAAGAAGGGTGAAGAGGAAGAGCGACAGAGTGAGATGAAGGCAGAATCGAGGAGGCAGCAGATTGAATCAATCCTGGCTCTCTCACCACTCCAAGTCAAAATACCATCATTGTTGAGTCTTGCACAGGCACACATGTCACCAGAGGAAGCTAGAAGGTTGCAGGAGCTGGCCAAAGAGGACGAAGAAAGAGAGCAGCAAGAAGCAATTGAGAAAGCAGAGGAGAAGCTGGCAAAAGCAACCAAAGCAGCCCGAAAGGCAGCCAAGGCAGTCGACAAGGCAGCCGACAAGGCAGCCGACAAGGCAGCCAAACCGAAGAAGAAGACCACCGCCAAACGAAAGAATCCATCAACAACGAAGGCAGCAGGAACCAAGAAAAAGAGGGCAGCAAACAAGAAGAAGGATGCTCCACAGACGAAGTAGACGTACCAGCAAGGAGTGTCCGTGTGGTGGAGGGAGGGAGGGAGGAAGGAAGGAGCGGCGCCGGAAAGGAATCATCGTCATGGTGCTGACGATTGGAGTGGAGAGTTTGTGCTGATCGAAGGCGTGAGTGCTCTAGCTAGCTAGTAGCTAGCAGGAATGCCGATTGCTATTGATTGATTGATTGATTCGAACTTCGATCTTTTGGATCTTTCGTCAGTTGGAGTTGTCACTTCGTTGGAACGTCTTAGACTTAAAGAACCACTATTAGAAGATTTAACAAACTGGACTCACGGATCCATTCCCGCCATTCGTTCGGAACACTGACGTTCCGGATCGAAACCACAAGAGGCAACAGTTTGTGTTAGATAAGAGAAAGAGAGAGTAACTCACGCATGTTACAACATGCGTTGCCCCTAGTTTTCACATCAAAGAGAAGGGAATGATCTATTGATTGCTTTGGTTGTTTAAACGTTCCGGCAAGATTGCCAATCTATCATACAAAGAGCACTCTTTTGGTCATTGAGTAGCGTCCAATCACCGTCGGAGGCGCATGCATTGATCGATACTTTGGCTCGGAGAATCATGCAATCGGCAGTTTCAGCGCCACCAACGCTCCTTATCAATGGTAGCAATCACGGGATCGAAATATTTGAAGCATGCATTCCCCAAGATCGATCGATACTTTGGCTCTTGAGTAGCAGCAAACCCAATCGGAGCAGCATGCCATTGACGCACAAAGTATGAGGCCACACACGGGTATCGATATTTGGATTCCTTGAGTATAGGCGACAATCATGGGATTGATGGCCAGGCGACTAGGCTCAACGGTTCAAGCCTCTACTTGAATCGAGTTGCCTCTTTCATTTTGACCTCATAAATCGACAATCTGCAGCCAAACAGCAGATCTCTGCAGCTTTTCCGCCTCAATCCTTCAAGCATTTCAACTCTTCGATCCTTCGTCTCCACCATGAGCAGCAACGATCCCCTCGTCTTCGATCTTTCAAGTCTACCTCTTTATCCCATCGATTCCACCATGGCCGATCCCTCTTCCGCCAAGACCGATTCCACCATGGCCGATCCCTCTTCCACCAAGGCGTCTGCCACCAAGCCCGACACCACCATGGCCGATCCCTCTTCCACCAAGCGCAAGTGGAGGACCAAAGTTACCGGTCCCAACGATGACTTCAACGTCTTTCGAGGCATCCAAACAACCGTCATCAAGGATGCCAAGAACATGCATCACCAAGTTGATGCCGCCGCTTTGACCTCCCAAGTGCTGTACACGGACGAGAATGGGAAGGTTATCTCCGCGGTCACCGTTGTGATGCCTTCGTTGATCTGCCACCAAGCCTTCAACAAGAAGTATCTTGGGCCTCCCGGCAACCAACCCGTCGTTCCCTGGCACCAGCTTCCGTACAAGGACGATGATGACGAGCTTAAACCCATCACGATCCAGGCATTCAGCATGCATACCATCGCCCTTCTTGCTCAGCATCAGTGCTGGGTCCAAGCTGTTGTGACAACAGGGTGCGAGCCATCAGAGCATGAAGGTCTGATTCTAACCTCCGTCCATGATGGAGAAGGCAACTTGACGAGTTTTTTTAGAGGTACCATGCTCCCACCACCGGAAGGAGAAGAAAAGGAGGGTGCTACATTCCCACCACCGGAAGGAGAAGAAAAGGAGGGTGCTACATTGACCACCGCCCTCTCTGACGATAGCGATGAAACTGTCGAACCCCCGGATGCTGGCTTGATGGCCATGATCAAGGGACAGATCGACACCTTCAACGCCAACAACAAGAAGGAGGAGAAGGAGGAGCGTTGGGTGCAGGGCCCTTTGATTCCTTGTCCAAAGCTTAAAGAGGGCCAAACACTAAAGATTACCATCAGAGGTCCAGGCGATACTGAAGACACGGTTCTTTATGTCAAGGCAGTGGCCAAGAAGAAGGATGACGGCGCCGAGAAGGATGACGGCGTCGGCAGCAAGAAGGATGACGGCGTCGGCAGCAAGAAGGATGAGACTGAAGAAGCCTCGAGCTCTGATTCTGGTGAGGATATCGATTCAGACTGCAGTTATGGTGAACAGGAGGAAGAGGAAGAGGTGGATGATAGCTACAAGTTCTGCAGTATTTAGGCATTGTAGCATTTAACTATCTATAGTACTATTGATACTAGAACTGTGCTCTATAGATCTAGCTAGCTAGTTGATGTTTGTACATGTAGTTGTTGCTGTGTGTATCCAATGCCTTGATGTACAAGTAGCCAAGCTAGAAGCCGAAGCGTTGCCCGTGTCATCATGTTATGACAGTGACAGCTACTAAATCTACCAGTTTGGCTAGCTATTAACTAAGAAGTAGAACTAGTAGCTGTCACTGTCATACCATGACCGGCAAGGCAATACATACACACTACAGGGTGGCTAGCTAGCTACTACTAGAGGAGAGTCAAACGATAAGATAAGAGTGCTATATTATTTTTTGGATACCTACACTGCTATTGCTTTTGGTGGGAGCATACATCCCATTATGATTGTTGCCATTTGCCTTGTTGGTTGCTGTGGATAGGTCTGTTGTTGTGGATTGCATATTCATTCTTCATCCTCTACAGTGACATACGTGTACTCTGTATCAGTGGACCGAGTGCTGATCTGCTCCTGACCAATCAAATCCACCAACTCCTCCAAATCAGCATCTTCCTTCCTTTCATCCCAGGGCTCCAAGGTGCCACTGCTTTCTCGGCGATTGTTGTTGTGTGGTTTCTTCTTCATGACAGCAGGAGCAACAGCAACAGGCACAGTCTTGATTGCCAGAGGCATAGGAGGAGGCTTTTTCATGGCAGCAGGCTTGGATGCAGGCAACTCAACTGGTGTAAGGCAAGGTTGAGCCACCACGACCACCTCTACCTCTGGATCTGCTCCTAGACCTGTTGGCTCAACAAAGCGTCCCTGGCCAGCAGGCAAAAGGAACACAATCTCAATGCCACTGTTGAGTTTCATCACAAGCTCTCTTCCTGAAAGGGTGAGAATCCAAAGCGGACAAGCCTGCAATCCTTGTCATCCACCAAGCTTGACAGATGATCCCCAACCTTCTTTCCCTGCTCTGGAGTCATATACTGGTTCTTCTTGAAAGACCAGAGGAAAGTAGAGTCTTCTTCCCAGGTACTGACCAGCATATCCAAGTTTGACAACAGAGAAGCCATGGAACGGCTTGTGGCAGGAATTCTTGGCTCATCCTCACTCTCTTCGCTGATACTCAACTCATGATCAAGGTGGTAGATGGTAAACAAATGGTTGTGGCCAATCCTTTTGATGTCAAGCTTCATCTTGAGAGTGGAGAGCTACTAGTAGAGGCAATCGATGGATCCGGAGGAGTGAGATCCGGAGTGAGATCCGGAGTGAGATCCGGAGCGATGAATCGACCTCTTCTTCTCCTGAAAGCTCTCAATATTTCACCACCAAAGCATGCAGAGGCACCAGAGGCAATGAGAGGATGCACATGGGGTAACGGAGAGCGGCTAGTGGCCGACAAGCGGAGGAAAAGCGCCATTGCGAGAGGCTTCTTTTTTCGATCGATTCAAATAAAGTTTGTGGAGTGAGTAGCTCCACGCTGAGTGGCTACCTCCATTAGAGTTCAGGCTTTGTCGGTTACTGTTTATATTTATTTAGCTATACAAAAGCTTAGAGTAAGGCCTGCAGGCTCTATCCCGCTTATTAACACGAGGCAGAGGCTCTCATTCATTTGATACGACTGTGTACACTGGTACCGGTAGAAACGGCCCGAAATCGCGATTTGCACCAAATTCCGGTTTATACTTGTGTTACGTCTCAATGAGACGACGCACCTTTTGGTTTCCCCCTCAGTTGCACTCTGAAATCGATTTGCCGGCGTTTACTGTGTAAAATAGAGTACCCGCACTTCAGTTGCAGAATCAACGGTCATGTGCTTCGAAAGATTTAGATCGATTCGTGGATAAAAAGAACCGTTGAAGTTACTAAGGTTAAGGATAAACTGATTGCCTGCACATGTAGGATAAACCGATCGTCAGTCGAGCGAAAGTCCATTATTGAAGGCGCAACACTGACTTCTCTCCCTCATTGAATTCGTATGGTAAACAGGAGGTAAATCCAAGCTTGGCCGACAACAATGCATGGTGAGTGCTTTATCCAATCGGCCGATCGATCGAATCGATTCGAGGTAAGCCTATTATCAAGAGTGTTAAACCAAATCCATTGTTGAAGGTGCAGCACTGACTTCTCTCCCTCATTCAATTCCTATGGTAAACAGGAGAGAATTCCGAGCTCGGCCGTCAACAGGTGAGTTGGTTTTTATTATTCGAATCGATCGATCGCACCTCTATTATTATCCAAGCCGTCCTTCTCTGGTGCAGATTCGAAAGCCATCCCTCATTGAATCCTATAGACCGTGGGATGGCAGTCAGTTCTCGGCCCATGACGGCCAAGTTGGTGCAATTTGAAAAACAATGGTAAGCCTCCGGTCGTCTGCAGTTGAGCACAGAAAACAAAACTCATATCTATTTGTTGTTTTCTCTGCTGTACTGCTGACGGCCGAGGAAATCCCATTGTCGAACGAACGATTGATCGCTCCGAATAACACGAGGAAGAAGAGGCTACCGCTACGGAGGTATGTGTACGGAGGAAACTGTTATCTCCAGCCCTACCAACAGCATGAACGACGTCTTCGAGTCATTGAATGGCAACAGTCAACCGGAGGAGGCTACACGACAACGCACAAAAGCACAGAGGAGAGTGGATCCTACTACTGGATTCATCCCTCCAGTGTTATTTCCTTGTGATTTGGTGGTGATTCCTGTGTCGGCACCCATTTTTCTGTATGCACAAGTCCTCGGGCGAACGACTTGCTTCTTTCGTAAGATAATAGATCATCGAGTCGTCGACTCATTGAAAGGGAACAGGAGCAAGGCTAGCTACTCGACAACACACAAGAGAGTGGATCCTCCTACCGGATTCATCCCTTCTTGTTATTTCCTACTGTTTTTTTGGTGGTGATTCCTGTGTCGGTACCCATTTCCTGTATGCGCAAATCAAGTACTGTTGCCACTAGCTATACGGCAGCTGGCTACAATGGCTGGATTGACAATATTCCGTTGTGCGTATATTCGTCATAAGAATCCAATGCGAGGTAACCGAGTGCAGCGAGCAAAGTCGAACCTGCGTGTGTTCGGTACTGTTGCTACTGTCACGATCGATGAACTCTACGGTAACTGGCTACAATGGCTGGATTGAGAATATTCGGTTGTGCATGTATTCGTCACAAGGATCCAATGCGAAGTACCGTAACCATAGCGAGCAAAGCCGAACTTTCGGTACTGTTGCCACTGTCATCGATGTAGCAATACCGCAGCTGGCTACAATGGCTGGATTCATAATGTTCAGTTGTGCATGTATTCGTCATAAGGATCCAATGCAAGGTACCGGTAACGGAGTGTAGCCAGTAAGCGAACCTGTGTGTTCGGTACTTGTTGCCACTGTCACGGATGTTTGTAACTCTACGGTAACTGGCTACAATGGCTGGATTGAGAATATTCGGTTGTGCATGTATTCGTCTAAGGATCCAGTGCGAGGTACCGGTAACCGTAGCGAGCAAAGCCGAACTTTCGTATGTTGCCACTGTCGTCGATGTAGCTATACCGCAGCCGGCTACAATGGGCTGGATTCATAATGTTCGGTTGTGTATGTATTTATCATAAGGATCCAATGCAAGGTACCGGCAACGGAGTGTAGCCAGCAAAGCGGAACCTGAGTGTGTTCGGTACTGTTGACACTGTCGCCGATGTAACTGTACGGTAGCCGGCTACAATGGCTGGATTAAGAACAATATTCGGTTTTGTGCATGTATTCGTCATAAGGATCTAATGCGAGTAACTGACTGCAGCGAGCAAAGCGAACCTGAGTGTGTTCGGTACTGTTGCCACTGTACTGATCGATGACTCTACGGTACTGGCTACAATGGCTGGATTGACATGTTCGGTTGTGCATGTATTCGTCATAAGGATCCAAAGCAAGGTACCGGTAACGGAGTGTAAGCCAGTAAAGCGGAACCTGAGTGTGTGTTCGGTACTGTCACGGATCGGTGTAACTCTACGGTAACTGGCTACAATGGCTGGATTGACAATATTCGGTTGTGCATGTATTCGTCATAAGGATCCAAGTAGCGAGCAAACTGAGGAAACAGGAGACGAACGCTGAAAAAAAGCCGAATTTCAATTTTGTATGGTTTTGGTTTTATACAGTTTCTATATTGATTTCGGTTTTATACTTTGGGTTCGAATTTATATTTAGGTTTCGAATTGATCAATTTGCTTGGATTCATAAAATCGTGATTTCCGGCCCTTTGGTAGGAGAGGTGCTGACGGCTGATGAATTTTGTTGAATGGTGATGAATAGGGAGCAAATGATGAATCGAATCATTCAATCTGTGGCAAATGATGAATGGCATTCACCGAAAGAGCAAATTGTTTGTTTAACACCTCTCGAATTTAGTCTTTGAATTGTCTTGAGCTTAAATCTCACTCTCAAGCTGAAATGTCACTTAGAGAGTGCAACTTCAGTCGCCCTATGTAATTTCAGCACGTATCACGCTTATTAACACGGGGCTTAGTGCAATTTCAGTGTCGCTACCGGTATGTAATTTCAGAACGTCGACTTAAATTGCACTCTCCGACTTAAATCATACTTCTTTAAAAGAAGAGCCTTGGATTTAACAGCCGAATCCCTTCAATTTGTTGTTTCGGTAGGCGCCAATCATTCAATCTGTGACAATGGGTGATGAATTGTGCTAAAATGTACTACCAGTACCTGGTACTAGTCTAATAGTCTACTCGTACTTTTCTATAGATGGTTATGAAGGGTGATGAATTGGTTATAAAAATGATGCTTTTTGACGAAATGGATTTCAGATTTTTACCAAATGTGAGACCGGCTGGCACGCTGTGCACAGCTTCGTTGAGCGGATTTTGGCGCGAAGCTTTACACCTACTTTTGAAGCATCTTTGACACACACCTTCATCTGTAGCGTTGCACGGCTCCACCATGTCTATTGCTTTCTCTTTTCCAAACGACGGCACAGCTATTGCTGTGTCAGCTGCCAAGGCTACAACTCCTCGCACTGTCGCTTCCGACAATGACAGCGATCAAGGGGAAGAAGCCATGCCTTGGGAAGACTGCGATTGGGTTCCAATGATGTCCTCCGGCAAGCAAAAGACTCCCAACCAAATCCGTGGCGAGTTCCAGCGCTACTTGGACACGTGTGGTCGGACCACAAAGGACGTGTTGGAAGAAATTGGAGTCAGCAGCAGATCCTTTTACAAGTTCATGAACCGCAAAAACTACAAGGACCCAGTAAGAATTCAATACGAGACGTTTGTCTATTGTTGGTCCAGCAAAGTGAAATCAATAGTGCTCCGCCATTCTCACCCTTCTATTCTGTAACCCCAGTGGTCGGCTGTTCAGAATCAGACATACTTTGAGGCTGGTCGTTTCTTGGCAAAACACGACCACCAGAAGAAGTTACAAAAGAAACAAGACAAGAAGCGAAAGGCGTCTTCTTCGAGTGATGGCACTGCCGTCAAGAAGGCAAAGCCCTCCGTGGCGGCACAGCGAGCTGAAGCCGACGCTTGGTTGACAGAAGTCTTGGCCACCACTGGCGCCAACGAGGAGGTAGTGTATGACTCTTGTCCAGAGCTTGTCAAAAAGATCAAGAAGCTCTTTCAGGACAAACCTGGTGTGACCAAGGCGGCTTTCTGTAGAATCGCTCTCTCGGGTGCAAACAACAATGCTTTGGCCAAATTCTTGGCTGCCAAGCACCAAGATCAGCAGGGAAATGCGGTCTACCGCAAGGCGTATGCATTCTTTGAAAAACTTCGCATCAAGAATGGCGAAGCAAAAACCAAAGCTCGGCTCAAGCATGAACAAGAGAAAGGGCCCGAAGGTTTTTCTATCAAACCTTTGAACATGGGCCGCCCACCGATGGTGTTTTATGCTGTTGACTTCCCCTTCTTTTGAATATGAAGAATAAATGACTGAATCCAATCCGCTCTTGTCGCCATGCGGTTGGGAAGGCAATGATGACATGTATGTTGGAATGTTGAGGGAGGTATCAATTTCTGTAGTAGAGCAATTTATAACCATTGAGGAATAGCAAATGCATTTGATGAAGCGTAGAACTATGGGGTTGCCTATGCCAGAGCACGCATTGTAAGAAAATGGATCTGGTGGTCTATTAGAAGTGCTGTTCAAACAATGGATACGCGGCATTCCGCGCTGATTACATGGACTATCGAGCAATGGACCCTCGCGAATGTGAATTTGCCTTTTGGTGCTTTGGCTGTTCCGGAGCCTGCCTAAAATTGCTGGTGTTGCGCAAACTACTCAACAGAGGTGCGGAATCAGAAATGATGGAATTGTCCTCCTTCCAACCAGGATCAAACCTGAACGACTGTTCATCGTCATGACTTCCTTTGGATGTCGGGGTCTCTGCTCGACCGTTGGCATCGTTGCTATTGCTTCTGCGGATGCGGTTGTTTTTCGATCCACTGCTGCGGCTTCCATCTCCACCCCACGAGGACGAGTAGCCATCCTCGCCCTTTCCATTGGCGCGGCGCTTGACGCAATTCAGCGGGCTCAAATAGTTCCAGATGGAACACCGTTGCTTCTTACTGTGCGCGATCTCGTCCTCAAACTGCTTGGGCTCAGACAGATCCTTCGGGTTGGTTCTGTTTAGGTCTGCGAGAATTGTGGATGCGTTGGTGTCTGGTTGTTGTCCTACTTGCCGCTGGAGTGTTGTGTCTCGACCATTGTCATTGTTGGCGACAATGAATTCTCCAACCACTTCGAGAGGGCCGGATGGTTTCCAGTTGGAGTCGAAGTTGTTGTACTGTTGTGAAGCAAAGGGTGGTGTATATCCTCCGTGAGGTTGCCGTTGTCTTCGACTCGGGCTAGTGGCTGGGCTGGAAGTGCTGAAGCTACTGGTGACGCGAATTAAGTCTGTGTTGGAAGGAAGGAGCATAACGTCGGATGGATTACTCAGCTGTGAGCTAACGTCATCAAAGGACTGGCTGGTTCCAAGCAAGGACCCCAGGAAACCTCTGCTACCGTTTTGTGAATTGCCGCGTTGCGGGTGTACAGGCACTCGAGATGGAATGGACGGAACTTGAAAGCTCAGAAACTGACAAGCGTGATGATGTTTCATGACTCCATTTGGTATATGCAGTCGTTTCAAAGCCTCCTCACTCAGAGTCAACGGGATATCATTCTCAAACACTGGCGATGTTCGCCCTTCTTTGGAACCCTTACGCAAGAAGTTCTTTATGCGGGACTTTCCAGGCTGGCTGTTGGGGTACAAGTCGAGCTGCGTGCATTGCCCAGAAGGAGAAAATGGAGATTCATGAGTGTCTACAATCACTTGGCAGATTGGTGTAGCCTACAGAAGCGCGCGGTTGGACGGACTTACCAATCCACCAGCCCTCAGTTGTCGGATGCAGTCCCTGGCAATGTCAGTTCTGTTGGGGCAGAACAGATTGGCGGTGTAGTTCGCGAATGAGACGGGAGAAGAGTGAGATTCGGCGCTGCTTCTTGCACTCATGACAACGAAACGAAAACTTACGCTGCCTTGGCAGCCATGGACCAAGGCTTGGCCACCCAAAGTTCTCTTGGTCGGACATCATATTTGGCTATTGAGAGTATATGAACCAATTGGCAGAACTTGTCTCCTCGCAGTTGGAATAGACCATCGTAGTCCTGTCTCCATCGATCGGACAGCTTTCGTTGCAACGCATATAGAACATCCCTTGCTAGATCCGCCAGCGGGTCAACCCACAATTGCATGATTTCGTATTGTTTCCGACCTGGATCCAGAAGAAGGATAAGAATGGGAATCCGGGACGATTCGTCGTCTTTGCTATTGTTGTCAACGGAAAGTAACAGGGAGGTGGGAGACGTATGGGACAAGAACAGGAGATCTTCGTTGCTTAGTTCGGCGCCCCTACTAGCAGTGTGGAGCTTGTTATTGCTTTGGTTGTGCGCTGCTCCATTCCTGGCACCAAAGCTATTTGTTCGATTCAGTTGTTGCTGTTGATGTTCATGATCGTGTTGGTCGTCCCCCCCTGTAGAGCTTCCGCTGTCACTCTTCTTGACCAGCTCGATCACTCCGTTTCGTTCTACTACAATCAGTGCTTGTGATTGTTGCTGCGTAGCTGCCGCTGCCGTTGTTGTTGCCGCTGTTGTTGTTGTTGTTGTTGTTGTTGTTACTGCGGGAGCCGGTGGCGTTTCCTTTGGACATGGCGACGATAGGATGTATGCCTGTCTCCAGAAGCCTTGGGCTTGTTCATGCTCGTTAGAACAGACACTGGCACGGCCGCCGTTAAAGCCACGGGGAGCGGTGTTCCCGTTCATGTAGGACCCACTTAGGTCTGAAAGCTCCCTTGTCAAGGGGGCTGGGACGCACATGACCGAGCTGGGAGCACTCCCCGTGCTGTTGTTGGAAGAAACCTGCCGTTGTTTTCGGGAACCCGAGGCCTTGGAAGCAGCGGAGGCCGCGGCTGCGTGAAGAACGGTCCGATGCCGTGGCGGCTTGCCCATGGTCTCTGCTGATGGATGATAATGGGTATCCAACCGTCCAATCGTAACCTGATACCCAAAAGAGCTCTGAAGGGGTGGTACCACCCGATGGTACCCGACCACCAAGGAGTATTAGGCGCTGGCTAGCAGATAGGAGGGTGCGTCAGTCTTGAGCAACCTTTTGAATATTGGTGCAGTTGAGGTGCAAAACCGTTGTGTTGGCGAGATAAAGTGAGTTTGAGGCCTCAGCTAACGCCTCAATACAGGTCCCCCTCAGAAAATGGTGCGGTACTTCGGAAAACTGATGATGAAGAGATCTTGACGATCACTCGACGATGGCGTAATCCTCTATAGAAGTCGCCGCATACCCTTTGCCTTGGCCTGAGTGTTACCATATGTTGATCAGTGGCACCTGTTTGCTTTCACTTCAGCGTGTCGTTGGTATGATGAAAGATGAGCTGTTGTTGCAAGGTCGATGATATTTTGTTTTCTCCTCTAGTCGAGTTAATCGAATCAACTCTTCGCATGATTGAAGACCAGGGGTGATCCAACCAAAAGCCAATTGTTGCATACAAATTGGAAGAGAACATGGGTGCCTGATGAAGAAGGACCGGCGACTTAGGAAGCAATCGGGATTTTCGTCCGTTTCTCCCGCATGGCCCAAAATCCTTGCCACAAAGTGGCCTGTGGGACCTAAAAGAAGGATCCTTGGGCCACAGCCTGGACGAAACGAGCACTACGAATCTTGCTGGTAGACAAAAGAAACGGTGACGCTTCCGGTATCTGGCTAGAGGATGTGCGTAATAGTACACTTGTTTCTTTCAAGACGACGCGGGGTACTTGTTCAGCAAGGTGTGAATAGAAAAGAGATCACCATCCCATCATTTTTGGCTGAGATTGAATCATTCCAAGTGACCCAACATTAGCAGCTACACTATTAAATAGCTAGCTACCGGTAGAGAGACTGGCCACCAGTAGGTACCGGTAGTGCCGGTACCGTACCGGTATGTGTAGCGGTAGGAGCTCGGAACCATCCCACAGCCTCAGGAAATGTTTCCCGTTGGGAAAACAGAAAACCAAGACTTTTAAAATTGCCTGTTCAGATTAACTAAAAGCAGTCCATTGGGCTACCGGAACCGTATCGCACCATACATCGGAAGCTTCAAGCCGATGTGTTGGCGTCAGTTGCCTCCTCTTTACTGGGAAGAGGTACGTCACGCAGGAGAGTCATGCATTCCTCTAGCCTCTCAATCTTGGCAATCAGATCTGCCCGAAGCTTGACAACAGTCTCATCCTCGCCGGCAGCATCCTGGATCTTTTCGGAATACAAGAGCTTCGTGTCGATCCACTTGACGTGTCCCTTGATCAGGATGCCTTTCGTTTTCTTCAGAATATTGTCCACGAACGTCTTCTTGGCGACGACAAAGTTAGCCTTAACCGCATAGAATAGACGCTTCTTTTGCGTTTCCTTCAGGCTCGAATGGACATGTTTTGCCGCAACCTCTTCTGCGGCCTCCTGGAGGCATTCCTTGAGATAGTTCACATTGACGTTTCGGTAAGAGGTCGAGTTATTGTAAGGCGACTTAACGTTATCGTTCAAGAGAGCTGTTGCTTTCTGAACAAATGCATCTTCGAGCTCCTTTGGGCAAATCTCTTCCTTGCGAAACTTCGCATTGAAGTAATGGTTTGTCGTGCCATAGAATGCTTCGTCGTCCAAAGCCTCGATGCAGGAATCTTTGAACTTTGGTAGCACCTCGTTTTTCATGTGTTCCTGGTCTGAAGCGAAAGAGAACGAGAAAAGCACGAGCAACGATTTGATTCAATGCACTACAAAGTGCTAACGGATTCGATTCCTCGAATTCGACATCTCAGCTTTGATCTCTTTCACTTACATTGAGCTTGAATCGACGAGACCAACTTGCTATAGATCTTAGTCGCCTCGTCCTGCCGAAGGCATTGAACCGCATCGACAATGACTTCGCAGCAGCGCTTGATGAATTCGTGGACAATGGGTTCCCATATCTCCTTGACCATCTCGACAGCCTCGTCGAATTCATTCTTGCCTTGGAAAACAACGCATTGAAACGCATTGATCTGGAAAGTTGCCGTGACGTACTCGAATGTCAGCTTGCTTTCAACAGCGTTGATCATGCTCTGGAGGGGGAACAGACACTTGTCCGTTAGCTTCTTCTCCAACTCATCCTTTCTTCTCTGTAACGATTCCATGCACTTCGTCACCATGTGGTTCTTCGAAACCGGTTTCTCCCCAACCTTCTGGAGATATGTCTGTGCCTCATTCAAGCTATCCGAAGCATTCTGCTTCAACAGTGGCAAGTACTGCTTGATCAGCCTCGCGAACAGAGGTTGCAGGCGCTCCTTGAGAGTTAAAATGCCAGCCCTAGACTGGGGGACCTGATACTGATTCAAAAGCTGAGATGCTTCCGCGGTGTCTCCTTCCCTGTCAGATCGCAATTTTCCATCAGTCCCAATGGAAATGACGGCGTGCGGCCCCAGATTGAGCTGCGTGATGACATCAGCTGGTCCGTTCAAGTCAAGACTGAGACCTTCTTTGATGAGGCGAACAGCTCTCTGCTTGGTGTCGGGAGTATCGAAGTTGTCGAACTTGGACAAGACGCGGATCGTACGCTCCTGATTGGGATCGTACTTCGCAGCGATTTCAATCGCCTTTGTAAGCTCCGCATCTTGCTTGGCTTCCGACACGATGAGATTCAAAGTCTCGGGCTTCTCTATGTTTGCCTCGATCAACGCATCGATGGCCTCCTTGGTCTTTCCGGCGTGTTGGATGCCCGGGAGATCGACGATAATAATGTCGATGACGTCTGGGCCCGTGACACGAAGCTTGATGGACTGGTCAGCTACTATGGCATTGTCCTCTTCGTCCCAAGCAGCCCCATTACCACCAAACTTCTTTCGGAGGAGCTTGTTTTGGGTGTCATCAATCGCCTCGGCGGTGGATTCTGTCTCGACGTAGTGGCCCGGGTTTTCCCAGTCCTCAATCTCGTACCTTGGTACCGGGAGGCTGGTGTCACGGTTGCAGGTCACAACAACAGCTGCTTTGGTGCACATTTTGGCCGCAGTAGGGAAGCGGACACCGGTTAGACGAGAGAGGAAGCTCGACTTTCCTGAACTCTGATCTCCAATGACACATATCTGAGGGAGACTGATTTCATCCGTTGTCGTAATCGTCTCACGGATCTTGCGAACAATCTCAAGCTGCTCAAGGTAATCGGAATCCGTAACGATCATGGTGTCTTGACTTTAGCTGCCGTGGGTTGCGTCGGCCTGATGGCGAGGGAAGTTTACGATTTGTTTTCTTTCAATGAGGGAAGTCCCTTCGAGCTTCGAGCTACCGACGGTATCTAGACCTGTGCGTTGACGTTTTATGAACGCTCAAACTATGGCATACCGGTACGGTACGAGTATCTGCGCTCTGTCGTTCACAAGAAAACCTGAACTTCCTGACACGCAATAATATCTTTTGGGTCAACTTGCTTGCTCGGTACACGTGTACCATACTCAAGGCAGGTTTTGAATTTTTCATTGCAGCGTCTTCACCATGAACGACGTAAATAAAAGAAGATATACCGGTACACCATAAAGAAGGTTTGGAAAGAACGTCAAGCTTGAGTTGCTTGGTTCCAGATGGCCTCGGGCCCAAGTAGCGGTATGCAGAGATCGAGATCGATTTTGCGAAGATCCAGTTTGCACGACCTTCAACGAGGTAGAGCCGAAAGCCCAGTCTTTGGGAAAGATTCGATTAACCGAAAGCTGCGAACTGCTCAGCCAAACTCTAGCGACTTAGTAGTATTTGTAGGCATCTCCAAACTTTCATGTTCGTGGAAGGATTCGCGCGTACCTATATCTTATGTTCCTTCCTCCTCGTGAGGATTCTGCCATTGGCAGGCACTCCAGGTCGTACCGGTATCGAGATTGACTCGACTCGACTCGGGCGTGACCTCGATTGGCCGTTGCACTGACTGTCACTCTCTGTACAGAGCATCCCTGAGGCACCACACCGAGAAAATTGCAAGAAGCAGACGGACTTGACTCGACTCGACTCGACTCGACTCGACTCGATGCGAAATTCGAACTTTCGCAGCGGCGGCAGTATTTGACGTGCCTTGTTGAACCATGCCCCTCAAAACAAACCTGAACCTTATTTAGTTTTGGCAGTTACTCTTTACTAAAATTGTCTGGCTCATGCGGTAGGATGTCTACGTACGCCCTCACGAGATTTGCTTCCGATGCTTTGTGAAGCCCCAGCCGCTTCTCCCTCTTTGCAGCCTCCATGGTCAACAACTGTCCTTTTAGCGGTATCGTTTCTGACAGTGGCATTCTAGTGTAAACATCAAACCGAGACAATGACAGGAGCTGTAAGTCAACAATCGATGCAATCCTAAGAAAGAGAGGCACTGAATCGTAGTTGTAGAGATACATGGGCTCTCGAGCTGGTGTGGATATACCCCTCCCTACAACAAGCATCAGTTGCATCCTGGTTGCCGGAAGTTCTCCTGAACGAGTGTTTCTCACCTTTTTGTGGCTGTTGATCCTTAGGAAAAGACAGGCAAGAGCCCAAGGTTCTACCCGGCGGAAGATGCCAAGCCATCCAAGCCAACATACAGAGTTCGACAGAACGTAAGTCTGGTCCCTTTTAAAATATCACTGTGGAAGTATCACCATTTCGTTGGCCGTAGCTCACCTGTCCAAAACCCCATGCGAACGGTTCATGCTCTGTAGCCACCCAAGATCCGCAAATCGATCACCCCTGGAACTGTCTTGATCATCTTGGCGGGTCGTTTCCGTGGAAAGCGTGTGGTCTTCCTGAAGGCTCTAGAGTCAGGTCTCCTGTTGGTATCGGGACCTTACAAAATCAATGGTGTGCCACTCCGACGCATAAACCAAGCTTATGTGATTGCTACCTCCACCAAGATTGATGTTAGTGGAGCTGACGTCTCCAAAATAGATGATGCCTATTTTGGACGAGCCAATGATGCACCAAAGGCAGAAGGCGAAGATGAATTCTTTGAAGGTGATGCTCCCAAGCCTGCTGTTGTCAGTGACCAGCGCAAAGCCGACCAAAAGGCCGTTGATGATGTCCTTCTAAAGACCATCGGTGCCACCGAAATGTTGGAGGGATACTTGGCAGCTCATTTCTCTCTTTCGTCAAGTGACAAACCGCATTTGATGCAGTTCTAATTAGATACCTCATAATAGGTAGGAAAGTCAACACACATAACAATAAGGAAGTGAAGTGCACCTGTCAGGATTGTCTAGGTTGCTTTTATATGGGTATTGACGTTTTGTCTGGGTTGCTTTTATATGGGTATTGACGTATCATCATGGAGACTAATAGCCGTAGCTGGTATTGAAACTGAAGAACCACACCCTAACTCTGTTTCGGCAGACACCTGGAAGATGATTGATAGGTGCATTTTCCAAGTATTAATTGCATCTCTCTGGCTTACTGACCATGGCAACCCCTTCTACTTCAATCTTATCTGAGAGTGTGCGGTACTCTCGATCCTCTACTAGTACCGGTAGGTCAGGCTCCCACCTTGAACGAGCTTTACTTATTTCTGCTCCTTCAGACTGAAACATTCGCTCCTTCAGCGTGATGACCCTTCCAAACTGGTAGGTTAGCTACTTCGGAGTACCGGTAGCTTTAGAGAAAAACACCACTTTAGCAGCAGCATCAAGACCCGTACCCTGGCTTTGAAGACACTTCCAACCTCTAGCTACAGCAGACAAACCACAAAGTCTACAGTATACAGCGCCGTTAGCAGAAAGCTTCGATACCCGTACGCCAAGCTTTGAAGACACTTGCAACCTAGCACGCACTTTTAATGAATCGAATCGGCACCATGATGCAGTTTGACGAGGACGACAGGTACGGTACTAGCTAGTAAAGGATGTGATTTTACTTTATTTTAAGGGATATGGTAGTATAATACAATGCTTTCAAACTGTTGTGAAAAGTGACTCTATTGCACAACCAACACCAACGACTCATACCATCTTCGGTGACGGTCAAAAGTAACATCAAAAGATAGCCTGGAATATCTCGGATAATCTTGATTTTTGCTTCGCCCAACAACAATTTAACGAACAGCGCCTGGGCATGGATCTAGGAACACCAACTCTTTTTTATGCGTCTTCTATTGTATGCGAGTAGCCGTCAATGACAAATCATCGAACTGCACTGGATGGTCTCGTCTGTCTATCTGAAGACCCTTGCAAAGCTGCAATTTGTTTCTTGATCTCCTTGTAGCGACGATACTGCGAAGCAACAGGTTTGATGTCCGCAAAACTTGACACTTGGCGCTTGTGTTCCTTGAAGAAGTCCTTCTCGTAGGATCGGAGCATCTGATGCAGCTGAGCCTTTTCGGCTTTCAAAGCTGCAAGGTCTTGCGATGGCGCACCCGTTGGGGTAATCGGTGGAGTAGAATTCCTAGACGGCTTGGCGCCGCGACCAGTCCCCGCCAATGGAGAATCAATACTTCGCTCGCTGTCACTGCCAGAGTCTGGCGGTGTTGGTGGGGCAAACGGAATAAATCTGTCTTGTGGCGGCGAAGGAACTCCCCCGGGCTTGCTCGGTGGCGGCTGGACACCAGGAGTAGGAACCTGAGGGTGCCTTGGCCCTTCTTGTTCTAACATGGCAATTTGGCTCTTCAGGGCGTTGTATTCCTCGTAAAGATGACGAATCGGTTCCTTTTCTTTCTTCACTGGCATTCGACCGTGCTTGCGAGCAAAGTTCATGTCGTATTGCTTGAGTTGTTGCTTCAGCTCCCGTTTCTTCGATTGCAGATCAGCTAATGAAAAGGAAGCAAACTCTGTCGAAGCGTTAGGAGGAGCAGGCGACTGCAACGGTGGTGATGTGTGAGCATTCGGTGCAATGGTAGTAGGGAATCCATCGCCAGAACCAGCACGTCGCCGTACCACTTGAGTTGCCCACTGTGGTGTCGTAAGCACCTGACCGGTGGGTTGCCCAGGAAAGGTGTCGCCAAATTGAGCAGGAGATTTTGTGATTCCGACAGAGCTGCTCGTGTGCGGTTTGATTAATCCGCCGCTTCGGTTGACGTCGCCGGTGTCCCCGATCTCGACTGGAATGCCAATGTGGTTCAAGAGATTCTCCTGGTTGGGTAGTTGCCGTGCAGACTGCGCTGTTGCTTGGCCACTGAATTCCTTTCGACCGGCTCGACGGCGTACAATGTCGCTAATCTTGGAGTCATCACTTCTCATGAGGTCCCAGCGAAGTCGAGCACCACGAAATAGTGCTTGAATGCGACAGGCGGCATCAGCACGAATGGCACGCTTCCACTCCCTGTACTGAGAATAGGTTGTAGCCAACGGTGCACGTTCAGCAGCCCCTTTTGGAGGACGTCCATGGAGCTGAATGAAGGCATCTTCGAAACGAGTAATTTGCGCTCGCAGTGCGCGACAAGCAGCTACTGTTCGCTTTCGTTCTGAAGCCGTTGAAGTCAGCGTTCTGTAGTGAGCCGCCTGAGAAGCCCCTGACCCGGCTGAAACCATGGAGGCACCCATGTTGGGTCGATACGTCAGCTCCGACGTTGAGCTTGTTCCAATCGAAGACGGCGACAGGGGAGCCGCTGGATTCATCCCAAGTGATGGAGTGAAGGGAGCCATGGCTGTTGGGTCAGCAGCGTCTTGAATGTTTTGGCTCGAGGGCGGTGACAATACTTTGGATCGCCTGGGGGAAATTGGTGTGAAAGGTGTCGGGGTGGGTGTAATTGGTTTCGATAGGGGCGGAGCCTGCTCGACGCCGTCTCGCTTGGGCGACTTTGGTGATCGAGGTGGCGTGGAACTCGAAATGGCGCCATTGTCATCACCTTGGCGGGGTGCGGGTGGCGGCGACATTATAGTGGTATTGATATTCTTTTGAACGAAAGAATTGTCTGGGCTTGTTGGTCGGTCGGCTGGTCCAGGTTGAGTAGGCATGATGTTTTCAAAGAGGCTCTCGGATTGTGGCGCTAAAAGACTGAAATCTTTTGGAGGCGGCGGTGACAGAGGTGTTTTCATTCCAAGCGGTCTGGACGGACTTCGGGGCGACAGGATCATGGCCCTCGGACTGGCTTCGCCACTCGACGATTGGGGCAAAACCGATGGCCGCTTGCTTGCAACAGATGTGGTCCTTCGAAAGGAACGAACACTGTCAGAATCCTTGGTGTTGAGATTGACACGGTTCCAGTCTGATGACATGATTTTGGAAATTGAAAATCCAATTTCTTTGTCAATTGCCATGACTTCCCATTCCGCCAAGTGTTCGTTGGAGCCCTTGTGTTCCTTCGATGATGTCCCTGACATGTACCTTCTAATTCCGTGGCTGTGCCCAGCTGTAAGTGCAAGGGAAAGGCCTTCGCCTGATGGCTCTCCGCTGAGGTTGCGCAGCTGCGCCGCCGCCGAATTCAAAGTCTCGGCTCGCTTGGAGTCCGCCAAGTACAACTGACCCTTCTCGTACCAACCCTTGCTAAAGATTTCATGAGCGCAATCGAAAATGAGCTCGGCAGCCGCAGTGATTGGTTCCATATCATGCTGATGCCTTAGACACCACATGGCAGCATTCTTTGGTCGGATCAAACAGGGCGCCACGCGCTGTACAAATCTGCGTTGGTATCGTGGCGTTCCGCACATTCGCCTCATCCTCGCGAGCATCATAATCACATCACCTGATGGTTGGTTTAATGAAGTAATGAGAAGTGGTGCCAACGCCGCCAGGACATCGGCACGGCTAGTCCGTGGCTTTTCGTTCTCTCCATCGACGTCGACGGGGGAGGTTACATCGGAATGCTGCGATTCCAAAAGCGCGACCCCAGCAGCGACGATTCCATCGTAGCATTTGGCCATTCCCTCTATACTTTCCAAGGAATTCAAGGAGAGACTTTCCAAAATCAATGCTGCCGACATCGTCGTCGTCATGGGCTGTTCAAACTGGCCAACACCCGCGTCGATGAGTTCCAGGTCGGTGTCGTCCTCAGCGATGTCGTTGGTCATTTCTCCATTTTGCATGCGTCGTTTTGAACGTTCGAATTTCTGCATGCGCTTTAGATGGCGTTTGAGCAATGCACCGTTGCGTCTCCTAGCTTTGTCAGCCTCGTCCCTGAGGTAGGTTCTCGCTGCTTGTCTATCCTGTGCTGTAATGCCATCAAAGTATCGGAGTTTTCTTCGATTGAATGGAAGCTTCCCAGAGGCGCCCGTTCCCATCCCGGATACCATTGGTGTGCCGTTGGCGTTTGTTAAAGAACCGTCCGCTCCTATGGGAGTAAACATGGGCTCCCTCAGGTTGACATACTTGTTCTCATTGTCGAGAGCAGGCGACTCTGGAGACAGCAGGGAGTCCATGGCGCCTAATTCATCTTCGTCTCCGCTGCTTGCTTCTTCGTCACTTTCGACATCAAAAGTATTGGTACTAAGCAAATAATCCTCTTCTTGGTCTTCGTAGTCTTCCAAAGACTGCGTCCCAATCATTTTCTCCAGTGCATAGTACCCATTCGCATCTGCGGCAGCACCCAGGGAAAGCCTTCGACTCCCAGATTGCACAGATGAATGCGATGAAGTAGCACGTGTTCGCTGTCTCAATGCGGCTTGTAGACTGCGCCTTGGTCGCCCAGGAGGACAAAGTCCCAGCTGAGTCCTGGCCCCCATTCGGATGGCATTTTGACAACACAGCACTGACATTCGAGCTGAGTGACATGGCTTTGCAGGTTTCGGTGGAGCAGCTTCCCCACTATGCTGCGGTTGACTTGCTCCTGATGGGGGCGTTGTGGAGGAAGACGAACTAGTAGGGGGTGCACCAGTATTGTCGCCTGATGCTTTGGCTGGATCTGGATTGGAGGAAGCGGATTGTCTCGCAGTTGTAGTAGTAGTAGCAGTAGAAGAGTCTACAACAGTGGTGCCTGTAGCTGGTTTGTAGCCACCACCATAACCACCTATAGTCCCCTTTCCAACCCGTCTCCGCCGATTCAGAGCGTGAGAGCCTTTGGCTACCATGGATCGTGTGGTGGCGTTGAAAGTGGTTCCTGATGGTGTCGGCGATTCTCCACTACCACCAGCATTCAATGTCACCATCATACTCTCCACCGCAACACCACAACACGGGGACAACTAACAACAACAACGACACGGCGGCAACAGAGAGGTGCTCCAAGGTCGGTAAGGAATGGTGGTGGTGATTGATACTAGCAGCGGCAACAGCACCACGAGCGGCGTAAAGCGGCCGTAGCGATATCAGAGCAAGTCCAAAAGTCGCTGTTCTTCTGAAAAAGAGAAGAGACAAGAGAAAAATCGCAAGCCAAGCAAAAGGAGGGTGAGGGACTGTTCTCTAAACACTCAAGCAAAATCCGACCCCTCCACCTCGAAATGACAGCTTTTTATAGTAAAAGTGTACAACGGAAACATCGGCCAGGCTCGATGGATCCTTAAGAAGCGCAAACAGCATACCCGCCACACCGAAGCTGAACATTTCGACTTCTACAGCGCTGAAGATGTATTGCATACCGACGCGCGCACTATCCTTAACCTTAATTTCACACTTCCAACTTAGGCAACGGCAAGAACCAAAATCACCATCAAAGCAAGTGCTTCAACCCTTGACCTTGGCTCGTGCGGTGGTCAAGAACAAGGACAACTTCTACTAGCCATTAGACTAATAGCTCTAGATTGCACCTACCTGTTTTCTCTATCCAAACGATGCAAGTGGTAGTGTCTTGATCAGTAATTTCTGGTGCACGCAAAGAACTCTTGTCGAGAAAGCGAACGCACGATCGATGAAATGTTTGGGATGCTTTCTCGCAACGATCAACTGACTGTTCCGGGAACCGGGAACTGCTTCCACCTCCTTCACCAGAGGACTGTGGCGGTGCCAACAACCTGTCGCTCCCCTAGTAGGATGTACGCAATAGCTGGAAGATACTGCTAAGCAAATGTTACCTTAGCTCGATTGGATGCAAGTGGTTTGCCAATGCGTTCTCTTGGATACCATTTTCTCGTTTTTCCTTTTCACAGAACAAACCCATCAACAAATCGGTCTGACTGCAAGCACGACAGAGCGACTGAAAGCAACGGTTTTGATTGGCTCCCGAGTGCGCAACTTGCGCCTTATTTAGTAAACTGCGCTCGCCTTCATGTGAAGATTACTGCCCCCCCGTGTGTATCGCTCGTCATTAACTCCCATAGTTTTCCCATCTGTGAGCCAGCTAGGCTGCTCAGTACGGTAGTAGAGCCTGTAGTAGCTACTGTACGGTACAGTACAACAGCTGTACCAGGTAATAGTACTGTACGGTAGTACGTCTACTCGAGCTCCAAGCGCTCAGTAGCTATCTACATGCTGGTACTTGCTTTTACCGGTACATGTATCGGCGGAATGGCTCATGATGATCCAATGAAGGTCCGGTTTAGTTAGACCTGTCTCGTGAGACTACGGTAGCGTTGGGAAGGTCACGGCCTGGCTAGATCATGAAGCCAGTTCCAGTAGCTAATGTTGGAGGTTGGAGCCTCCATGCAGGATGAAGGTGGATTGCTAAGATGGAACAATCAGCAGGTCAGCCAAGGGCGAAGAACCAACTAGCTACATGTACAAGAACACCACTGCTGGTACCGGTATCGGAGGAAGCAAGCTCCAGGCAAGGAGACGTCAGGAAGGAGCTCTGAGCATCGCAAGCTTTTGCTCTGTCCCTTTTAATTAAGCAGCTCCCTTGCTGTAAGCACAAATACGAAGCCAGCACCAACCAGATAGATAGCCAAGCTACGCGTGCAGACTTGCCCTTCGGTGTCGGTTGACAAAAACGTCCAATGGTTGGATCTCAATTGAGTAGACTAGTCTAGTGGCATTGGGCTAGAATGTACCGGTACATCAATGAGCCAAGGTTCCATAACAGAAAGTTGCACCAAGAATCGAGTCGCTCTCTCCTGGATTGAATTTCTGAGATACTGAGAGGTTAGGTTATAGCGGTTTTTCATGCATGGTAGGGAAACCAACGCCATTCGAGAGCCGTCACAAGTTGGAGCCGTGAGCATCCCAACATCTGCCCCCAAGTTGTCGCTCTCCCTGCTGCCAGCACAGGATGGAGAGCTCTGAAAGTCAGCCACTGCAAGCCAAGCATTGGCTGACACAGGCTGACACTTAAGCGCTGGTTGAAAACGCAGACCATGTGGTGCTGGTTGTAGTCATGCTACCCGGACGATCACTTTACTCCAACTACAAAGTGTGCATTCATCTGCAAGGCAGTGAGACCCCTTATTCCTCTTTGGCTACTAGCTAATATAAAGTGTGCACTATCCCGGTACTGTAATGTGCATTCATACGGTATGCACCTCCTCTGTGGCATCGGATGTAACGAGGAGCTACTGGTACCGGTATGGTCCGTTGGTACCGTACGGTACGATTATCGGTACGCACCCCCGCTTGATGCTTTACATACCAAATGAGTCGAGTGACTCAGTCGCTTGAAACGTCGCATTGGTCTGACCCCTCCTACGAATGATCAATCGAATCGTCCTGGACAGCATGGTCGTGAGCTTGAGAACGATAAAACGTGGATACGAGGCTAGCTAGAAGCCTTGCTTCAATGTCTGCAATTGCGAATACTAGACCCATCATCTGGATGATGTGGAAGAACCGCTGCGTCCTTCGGTAACAATCTTTGTCATCCATCTCGGTCTTATTTGTTCTGTTTGCAGAACACCTTGACAGGTAATAAAACAAATTGCGCGCTAGTTATGAAGTACACTATTCGTATAATCCTGCTGTGCTCGAGATCCGCATTCGTTGTCCCGATCCTAATCGTTTTCGAGCTTGCCATATGTCGCCTTTGCAGGGATTTCGATGGCAGGCACGTAAAGGGCTCTTTTAACTCTGACGGCTCCTTTATCCTGGTCATTAATCACTTCGACCTCGTCCTTCTGCTGGGCTCTTGTGTGCTTTCCCAGTGACGACGTTCCGTCTGATTGGGTGTCAATCTCAATTTTTCTGTCGTGGGGAATGATTCGATTCGACTCGACTCATCCAAGTTTAACATGGCTCCTCCGTTCCTTCCATGAAAGGGCGCATGACGATGTAGCCTCATCGTCGTATATGTGCGTTTCTGTGTAAACGCATGTTTGCGCCATTCTTTTCTTTTCTCCACCAATGCATGTGTCATCGACCTCAATAAAAATATCATAATTTTCTCGGTGTTGCTGGCTGCCATTCACTCACACAACCTTATTCAATGCAAACGCAATACGAGGTGGTTTTTTATTCTTGTTGCCTTTTTCTTGCCCCGTTCCCACCATAGCATGTGGCGTTCGTGGCAATCCATCAAATTCATCCAACATGATATCTTCCATATTTTCCATTTCTTCGGGTGAAAGTCTCGTCCCCGTCGTAGCATCCAATTCATCCTTGTAGGTGCCACCATCGAGTGCGGCATCTCGAAACGCCAATTCACGAGTAGCTAAAGCAGCCGAAATTTGTCGTCGGGTACGTGCTTCCCGTCGAGCAAACCAACATGCCGGTACCATGCCAAATACCAGTCCGGCTAAAATGCCCCCCATGAAAAAGGCAGTCGTATTGACATCATCATTGTCGTTGTCGTCATTATCTGGAGCATTGTTGTTGTTGTTGTTGGGAGGTTGCGTGGCTGTGGTGACAGCAGAGGGCGCGGCAGGTGTTGTTGTGGGCGGTGCCGTTGCAATGGGCGCATTCGTTTGCGGTGCTATGGTGGTGTTACTACTGTCCGCACCATTATTATTACTGCGAAAAGTGTCAATATCAAAGGGTCGTTCATTGCATTCGAGGTACCAGAGACAATGTCGTACATCGTCACACTCTCTACAGAAATCACATCCCATGGGATTGACTTGGGTCGGCAATTGTTGCGAAGTGGGATATGCGTCACAAATATCATTCAGGAGATTGGAAACATCCCAAGATCCCTTGTAGCGTTCTCCCGCAATATGCACGAGCGGAATATTATCGAGGGCATACTGTCCTTGTTGTCGATCGAGTTGTTCTTGGAGTCGCACATTCATGGTATCCGCATCGAGTCCTCCGGCCAATTGCATGCATTGTTCGACCGATGCCCAATCGGTATGTGCCACTTGCGCGAGTGCCTGTCTCGCACATTCCGTCATGTCGTCGGTGGTATGACACTGTAGATCCTTCCAGGCATCGAGATATTCAAAATGTTTGAGATCGGACGCATGATAGAGATCATCGATACAGAGCCGACGGAGGGTTTCTTCCACGAGTTTTTTGGGTGGATTGGCTGGATTGAGGTCGTTTGGTATTTCGGGAGCACAGTAGCGTCCTTGATTGGTGCATTGTTGTTGACAGGGATCAGTGACGACGGCTCGTTCGGTAATGGCTCCCGTGTCTTCATCGATCCATTCGATGCGACATCCGTGTTCGGTCATGCCATTGCCAATGTAGTGATGTGCCTTGACGTAAATGATTTGATTTTGAGCTCGAAATCTGTGAATGACGCCTTTGAGTAAATCCCAGAGCGGGACGTGCCAATGGGTAATCACTGTGGTGACTTCTACTACCAGTGGAGACGGGTAATTGGCCACTTCTTCTGCCAACAAATCCTTGGCAGTAGAGGGAAAGCGAACGTATGTGGCTCGTGTTTCTGGATAAGGGACGGTCGTGTTTTGGAGTTCGGGTGGCAAGTTGTCGATGCTGGAGAGCAGTCTGTGTTGAGTGACAGTCGCGGCGGCTGTGGAGGACAGCAACAATACTAGTAGCACGAATCGGAAGTGTCGGCTGCTCATCATCATCATTGATTGTGTGTTTGATTGATTGTTGTTGCTTTTGCTAATGCAATTCGTTTTCTCCGTTCCTCTCGCCGCGTCTTTCTCCTTTGATTCGATTCTAGATTGATGGTAGAGCGAACTCTCTGTGGGCTGTAGCTCGTCCGGTAACAAAACCTCTCCAATAATACACACAAAGCAACAAGCAAGCAGCTATCTGTGGTGGTTAGGATAGAGAAGAAAGAGAGGAAACACCGTGACACGAGTTCATGAGTTCATCAAGCAAGATGGTTGGGGAGATGGGTCACTGAGTGGAACAAGCCAAAGTGCCTGACTCTGTCCGCAAAGTCATTTGGATAGAAAAAGAGTACACATGATAATGACCGAAGCACTTGGTCCCTAAAGACAACGGAATCTTTTATTTAAGCCATGATTCTTGTTCTTCGCTCACTGGCACTCAGGTCCCGGTTCGTATTCCAGCCCTGCATGCTTGGCATTTTCTTCAGCGCTTGACGACGAGTTCACCTTGCATTTCTTGGCAGGTTGCTTGTTGGATTTTCTTGTGAACAATCATTATTATTTTCAGACAGAGGGTAGATTGGATGATGACCATGATGATGAAGTCCTCGATCCTTCAAGCTCCGTTCCTCCTAATGATGCTGGCAGCGGCTCCTGTCAGTGGCAGTACTGGTAGCAGCTCCAGCAACCTTCGCTCCAGCAACCATATTATTATTCCGGAACAAATATTGCCAACAACAATAACCAACCACAATACCACCACCATGATGACCACGGATCGACAGTTGGCCGTCTCGGACTTGTGGGTGGACTACGAGACGTGGCAGACATACACACACTTTCCCAAAGAAATGAAGGAATATTTGAAAAAAGAATTTCAGCTCTACATGCGAGGACCCGCCATTAATGTCTGGACGCGCATCCCCGAACCCAGTCAAATGGTCTGGCCTCTCCTGAAAGGCATTACGGTCCGCAATCACATTGAAAACAAGATCCTTTGGTCGACCCCCAATTTGTACATTATGGATGGCGTCGATGCCAAATGTCGCGAACAGCAACCCGATGGAACCACCATTCCCGTCGATGCTACCATTTGTCAAGAACATTGCACGCATCAGGGACGGTACTGTGCGCCCTTGGAACCAGCCGAATTGCCCCCCAATCTACAACGCAAGGGAAAGGAACTCGTCAAGGAAGCGCTACGACGATTGTGTTTTGATGGATATTATCATGCCAGTGATCACAAGTGAGTTGAAATAATTGAACATGGATTTATTTACCAAGAGAATGAAGTTGGCACTTATCCCCTTTTTTGTTTCCCTTTCTCTCCATTCCAATTTATAATTTGATCAGATGGTTCGACTATCTCCAAAAGTTTGACGAGGCCCAATGCTACGACGCCGAAGACATGACCAGCTGCTCCTTGTCCGTCATTGAACAAGTCGATCATTGCGACTACAACAACTTTGCCGCCTGTGTGGGAGATGAAACTGCCTTGAACTCGGACACGATCAACGAAAAACTCGAAAAGCAACTCTCGCAAGCCAAAAAACACGGCATTCAACTCAGCGACTTGCCCGTGCTCACCATTGGGACCAAACGATACACGGGCGCCTACACCGCCAAGGATATCTTGCTCGAATATTGCAGTCATTTTGGGGATGACAATATGAAACCGGCATCGTGCGATATTTGTTCTCAGTGCAGTGATGTCCGCAAATGTCTCTGGACATTGGAATGCGATGGCAAAGACTTTGAGTATACCCAGTTTTTGGCCAGTCATGGAGATCAACAACAACAAACTACTCCGGCGCCAACCGACAGTAGTCCAATGGTGGAAACACCCATTCCCGTCGCGACGTTACCACCGGGTGGCATTGCCACGACGGAAACGTCGACCACCACCGATACCACACCAAATAATAATAATATCGAAGCGACGGCCACGAATGAATTCGGCAAGGAAGAATTGGAAGAAGCCAATGGGCAAGAAATTCTGACATTTTTCATTGGAGCGTTGGTCTTCAGTGCCGTGACGGCCCTCTTCTTTGTCTACAAAGATCGACGAAATCGACAGCTCCGGATTCTGGAACAGGCACGGCAGGATGCAGCCATTGGATTTCGGGATACAGAAGATGGTTACATGGATTTTGTCCCCGACAATACGGTCGAAATGTCACCCACGCATGGCAATAATCAGTCACTGTCGAGCTCCATTGGCAGTCAACCGCCTCCCTTGGCATTCTCCATGAAATTTGATTGAACAAGAAGTGCGACAAATACTGAATAGAGACTAATGGTGTGTGTGCAAAGCGGTACGCTGGCTCCTTGAGTTTCGGTGGGGCAGTCAAGACTAACAAGAAGGCAGCTTTGGCGAAATCATAATATACATATATATCTGTGCGGCGAGTTTGTACTTGTTTTGCCGTGCTATAGCTCGATTTGCGACGATGGGAATTCCGAACAACCAAGGCAACAACCAAGTGTGATAGACATGTGAGTACGGTACTGTTCACGGATGGCAATGTAATTGGAAGGTCACGAGACCTGGGAGCAAGTTTACGACGGGCATGGTTTTTAAAAGTTCTATATTACTGTAACAACTAGCTAGTACTTGCTTTGTTGGATTGATTGAATCAACAAGAAGGGGGTTTGAGACTGCAGTGCTGGCTTCGGCAGCAAGACAACATGCTCCTGAAGTAAAACGTATTGGTTACTAGGGCGTAGAGGGAATTGAGACGACGGCAAAATAAGGTCGTTTCGTGTCCCGAGGCCAACTAATGGATGAGGCTGAGCACGAGGAGCAAAAAAGTGGCACCGAGAGGTGGGACGGAAGATGGCTGAAGTCGGCAAGGAAAAATTTGACACTCAAACGTCTGCGTTGAACCGTGAGACGCAGCCTCCACGCAGCTTGCTGTCACTACTACCACAGTAGTTTCTTTCAATCAATCTGTATCCCTTCGCAATCCAATTCCAGAATATCAATTTTGCTTCCTCCTCCCAGCAATGACGACACATTCGGCTGGGTTCGTCCCAAATCTCCATGACAAAACTCCTTGACGTAGGTTCCTGCATCGGTACTAATGTGGATACGAAAGTAGTGATCATCGAGCCTGTGTACGCCATGACACGACAAGATGTGCCGCGTCCGAACGGCATTGGCCCGTCGATGCAATACCCGAATGGGTGTCTTTTGCTGGATTTGCAATTTAAACAACGTGTCATCTGCCAAACGCTGTTGGAGCACATCGAGTGGTGGCAACGGTTGCTGACTCCAGCACAGACAGGCATAGTATTTGGACTTGCTTTCCGTCTCGCTTTGAAGGTTTTTGAAATTGTCCGTGGGGGCAAAGGAGAGTGAATCAACTCCTACACCCAATGGACTGCGGCCATAGTACTGACTGGATGTTGGTAAGAGTGGGAGTGACTCGGTACTAGTAGAGGTTGTTTCAGTGGTGCCCGTTGCTTCACTCAGACAAGTACTGTGGTTGATGCTCTCCACCACCTGCTTCAGATCAGCGACGGTGGGCATTTTCAAGGCATCAATGATTTCACAACAAAACGGCCTTCCACTAATGTTTTTGCTGTTGTCATGATGAACCGGCAATATCATTTTGACATCCATATCTTCTCGTCCGGAAGCATGAAACTTGGCCATTCCAAAACGAACATTGGTGTTTTGGTCGGACGAATTGTTGAGCGTGGAAATGCCTCCACTGGTTTTGACTATAGTGGGTAGAATGAGTTCTTCAATGGAAGTTACTCCCAGTCGCTGTCGTTGTTTCCTTTTCCTATTGTTGTTGTTGCTGCTATTGTCTTCGGTATTCTGGTCCACCTCCACATCAATAAAGAATGGCGACTGTGAAACGTCTCTCCTGGTTTTGGTGTAGTTTCCCTTGACCAAGAAGGGTCTTCTCCACAGAGCCACATGGACGTGTAGTAGTGGGTTGCTATCATCCGTATTTGTAGTGTCGGGAAGAGCTCGAATGGCACTTTTGTGTGGTTGTGTCTTTGTTCCTTCAAGGAACCAATCATCAGCCTCCATTTTTTTCTTCTTGTCGGCCCATTCTGTAGCCTGTGTTACTGTCCAGAGGGGCAAAATGGACGCATCTTTTCCCAGTGTTTCGTCCAAATTGGATCTGGGATGCCCCCCTTGCGTTTCATAGGGCTGATGATGGAATTTTCGACGCTTTTTGTTCCTATTCTGAGACTTGGGTTGGTTTGGGGGTCTAGGAAGAATGGAAGAAGCAGCAACGATTACCTGTAGAGCCAGATAACCCTGTTCTTCCTTTGTGACACAGTCTGGATAACTGGGTGATGATGATGGTGCTTGTTGTTCTTGTTCTTGTTGTTGAACCTTGAGCAAGATATTGGTGATTGTTTCTTGTGCAAATTGTTTGAGGTACTTGACAAACTTGTACGTCGGAGTTGCCTTGGGATGTTGTAGCGAGGCCACATGATAGCGCACTGCGATATCTCCCGGAACAGAAAGGACCGGGGGATCTTTATGGCGGCTGAATTTGTTGCCCGTAGTGCCCCCATAGGGATGACATGCTTGACGAATCTCTTGTTCCAACCTGGCAGTCAAAGCCGTACTGAAGAGACCCAAACAAATGGGACAGACTGCAGCAGTTTCATTATTTTCAGTCTCCTTGCTGCTTGGTTCCAGAAAGCTTTGACACTTGGGGCATGGCTCTGAATTCGTGGATGTCGCCATGGTGATGACGCTGCTAATGGCTAGCTTTTACTCAATAGCTACAATGTAGTGGGTTTGCCAAGGGTGGCGCCCACAGAAGGAGAATGAGTGGTTGCCATTCCCATCGTCGTAAGCGTCGGTCGAAGGAAGATCTTTGCGAAATGGAAAAGTGTCAAAATGGAAAAGTTACAAATTTATCATTTTGGAAAATCCCAGATCCTTAAATCCTTTTGAGATCCGAAAGCTGGAAAGGTCATAAGACCAAACGACAAACGACGACTACCGGGAATGGTACATGTAGTAGTACCATACATGTAACGGTACACCCTCTAGCTACCCAGTACATAGTAGACTGACTTCTATCCTTCTATTGCCAAAATCCCCACCAGCATCACTTCCAATTGATTATCATGGTTGGGAGACGCAAGGGCGGCGATGAGGCTGTCGGTGGCGAAGCACCTTCGCCTGAACTCATTGCGTCCGCGAAACTCTATCTGGAGTCTCTGGTCAGCAACGGATCCATACCCCAAGGAATCCGCATCGATGACAGTGCCACAAAGTCCTTGGCAGCCGTTGCGCAATATCTCGTAGACACCATCATGCAAGATATTTTGGCTGACAACAACGGTGCAGCGATGGAACCGGATAACATGCAAAAGCTTGTCCAGAAGAATGATCCATGGAATCGATTGTTTGGCGCTGCATCCATGTGCTATGGTACATATCCGCATGGAACTCTCCAGAAAGATGACATTGACTTGGGACCGTATATTTCTCGGAAATGCGACGAAGCTCGCGTTACCCTAACACCCGAAGGCTTGGCCATGCTGAATTACTACATGAGCAAAATATGTCGTCGCACTGTAGTGGAAGCTGGAAAGTTGGCCACTTTTGACATGGTATTGTCCCACGAGTCAATTGGCACTTCCATTAGTCTCACATTCCCAGCAGGGCAACTTGCCAAGGAAGCAAGCGAAGCAGGAGCCAACGCTGCGACTGGTTAGTTGTTCCAAGTTCCAATGTTCCATCAATTTCAGCCGAAGATTCAAGACGGGTCACCCAAACAAAAGAGACACCACAAAGTAATAATGGATAACGAAGCTTAGGAAGCATGTCTTCATTTTTGTTACCTTATGCTTTGGTTCAAAACCATCTCCATTCGAACGGTACTACGTAGTCTAGTGTTGACATGCCCTGCTATGGACATACCCGGTACCAGCGTACCAGCATGACCGCGGCTGTACCATCCAATACTTCATTCGATTGAATCATTCGGGCTTCATCACAACTTTGTTTTCAATCGTCTGAACGAGAGACAAGGACCTACCTGGTACCTTGGCACAAATCGAGTTCGTCGAAACCATTCAGGTCCCGAGCCTGACCCAACCTTCGAAAACCAATCCCATTGGGAAGTTCTTCGAATGATTGCGCAGGAAAGGTAGGCACCACTGAAACCTGCTCACATTTTGCATCAAAAACAGCACAACCCTCACCATAATCCCACAAAAAACAAAACCAGCAAACTCAAAGCAACGAGCAAACAGCAAGATCAACAACAACGACAATCATGAATACTTGGTACCAAGCATTGCTAGTCCTGAGCGCTACTACCGTAGCAAGTGCAAGACCGGGGCCAGCGTTTGTGCCCCATACTAGTAAGACCGGCATGGCAAAAAGCTTCACACGTCGTCCAAAGTCACAACCTCTTTCCTATAAAACTCTCCCCGACACTGAATTCGAACACTCATTAATTATTCACAAGCCAGAAACAATGCCTTCCCTTTCATCAATCACTCCACTCCGGACCGAGCCTCACGCTGGACCGAATGACATTGGTGTATCTCTGTTGCCATCGGACAACAAAGACGGCACCTTCAAGAGCTATCCACTTGTGATATCACCCAAAACAGAATCTCAAAAGTCCCTTGCCTTTCTTTCGTCATTCATGAATCATAACAAGGACTGGATCGATGACATGATGCTTCGTTATGGAGCTTTACTCTTTCGTGGCTTTCATGTTGTGACGGCTAAAGACGTCGAAGACGCCGTCATGAGCTACGAACCCAATTTGAACAACCAGTACAGAGGCACATCGCCCCGTCACACTCAAGGCAATACCGAATTTGTCTTTTCGGCTGCAGAGGTGCCTTCCCACTACCCGATAGCCCAGCACATTGAAATGTCATTCCTCCCCGAGCCACCCAAGAAACTCTTCTTTAGTGCCCTCAAGGCACCGGCAGCGGTGGGCGGAGAGACAGCCTTGGCTGACTTTCGCAAGGTTTACAATGCCATTCCCAAGGACCTCCGAGACAAGCTTCAAGAAAAGAAGTTGCGATACACCCGTACACACAAGAAGGTTGGTGACCGATTCACGCATGATGTGGCTGCCATGTTGAGTTGGAGCGAACTCTTTCGGACAAACGACAAGAAACAAGTAGAAAAGATGGCCGCCCAAGAAAACATGCCCATGCGATGGGAAGGTGATGACACGTTTGTCAGTGAGTTTGAAACCGAAGCCTTCCAGCGACATCCACAAACCGGAGAAGCGGTTTGGTTCAACCACGCACAAGTATTCCATTGGACCAGCTTTCCTGCAGAGCTCTTTGCCGCCTTTCGTCGCACCAAGGATTTGCGATACCTGATGCGAGCACTGCTTCTGGGTGTACTGTCGTGGATCAAGTACGGTCCCATCTTGCGACAGCAAATGGCATTGCATGTGGCATTTGGAGACGGAATGCCGCTTTCGATTTGGGAAATGCATCAAATCCGCAAGGCAGTGCATGAGAACACAATCTACAATCGTTGGCAGCAAGGGGACGTTGTGATGATTGATAATTTCTCGACATCTCACGGAAGACAGCCCACGTACGATAAGGGCAGGAACATTGTTGTGGCGTGGTCGGATCCATTGGCGAAGAAGGACGCAATGGCAAACGAGCACTTGACAAACAGCGACAACGATCAAAATGCATAGGGAGTCCACGAAACGTAATAAAGTATAGAAACAATAAAAATAGACCATCACTGGAAAACTACAAGGATTGTCTTTGCTGGCGTATCTTAGGATTACTCCATTGCTTCTGTAGATCCAGCTAGTGCCCAAAATCTATGATTCAGTACACGGACATGGGAAACCTGCAGAGGAAATCTATCTCCCCAACAAGGCTGACCCATCCACGGGTTGAGGTCGTTGTTGCTGCCGTGCCTGTCGCTGTTCTTGAGCTTCCTTGATTTCTTTGACCATATTGGGATGCTCCGTATCAACACCCGCATCCGCCAAAAGTGCCCCGACAGCATCCTTGCCTTGCACCATGGCCAACCAATACGGCGTTCGTGCCTGTCCATCCATCTTGTCCAACAGGTCCACGGCGTTGGTTTTGTTGTCGTTAGTAGCACAAGCTTTTTGAATGACAGTAATCCATAGCTGCACGGTTTCCTTGTTCCCACAGAATGCCGCCACATGGATAGTATTGGCCCCATTCTTGTCTTTTAATGCAAGGACTTGCTCGAGAGTCTCTACGTCACTCTTCTTGTCGTCTGCTGCCTTGTTGTCAATCATAAAAGACAACAAGGCTTGCAGGGCATCGTGGGCATTTCGTTCCGAGCAAATGTGAAATAACGACAAACCAGCGGCGTTGAGTTGCATCAGTTGCTTTTCCACGGAGGAGTCGCCTTCTTGTAGTACCAATTGGAGCAGTGTCAAATGACTGTTTCCCACAATAATTTGGAGTGGAGTGGTTCCCTTTTGGTTGGACGCGGTCAAGGCGGTAGTGAATTGTTCGGGTGTCAAAATGACTTGCTTTAAAAATCGAATCATGTCGGTATTTCCCATGGAACACGTTGCCAAAAAGGGCGAATCGCCTTGGTGGTTGGGCACTCGCAGCATGTCCTGAAACAACACGCTGGAATCGATGGCGGCGAATTTCTCTTGGACGTGCTTTAACAAGTCGACATTCCCATAGGCTACAAGGATCCAGAGTGGCGTACAACCAAGACTATTTTTCGCTTGATACGCATTCTGAATTTGAGCTTTTGTCGATAGAGAGGCATGGATTTGATTCAAAATTTCTTGGCATTGGGCTCCTTCTCGGCCACGACAACTGAACAAGGCATGCAGCACGTTGTTGTCTTGACGATCCAAGACTTGCACCGAATCGGCTCCATTCCATTCTTCTTGAAACTTGCTCAAGTCTCCCATTACTGCCGCCGTGAGGAGCGGTGGAGGCCCTGCAGGTTGCACTGACGACGATCGATTTCCCATGGTCTTGTTTTGTTGGTTATGGAATGATACCGTAGCTCTTCGTTTTCACGAGAATGTGATAATAAAGTTATTGTCTGTCCTTCGTAGGATCCTTCAGTCAAGGCAAAAGCACGTAGTGTCATCGCGACAGTCAAAGTGGAAGGTTTTGACTGGGAGCTCTGGTTTGACTTGTCAGAATTGTGGTTTTACTGTGTGGAATACAGTACCGTCACAAATCTGATAGGCCAAACCAGATCCTGCATGGAAACCCTCCATGCAGGATTTCGTGGTGACATCCCTTCTTTTTTCACTGACCGGTACTCAAATCGGTACTGACGTACTTCGCACTTTTCTCACTTTTCGAAAAAGAACTTCAATGCTGCGCACCCCTTTTACAACAACACGCACCCCTTTTACAGCAACAGGCAACAACAACAAAAACATACGAATACATACAAAGTCGACAATGGAGAAGCAACGGCTAGTACATGAGCAATTGAAAGCTTTCTTTGAAAGCAGGGGTAATACTACTGTTAGTTTAAATACAGCTAGAATGATGGGGGCTTGTATCTCTGAGAAACAGCCCATGGTGACAGCTCAAGAGGTCGCAGAACAAGGAGCTTGGAAGCCCACCAAACTGTAGAGTAAAGTAGCACACAATTTCTTATTTCTTGGTACGGCCACGAGAGGCCTGCTTCTGTAGCAGTTCATTGGCCTTCAAGTAGTCGACAAAATTAGCAACAGATCGGTTGCCCTTCTTGTATTCAACATCAAGGGTGGTACAGGCATCGATTTCATCCATATTGTGGCGCTCCGCGAACCCACTCATGCCAGCCACTGCTTGCTTTCTTCTGGAATAGTTCTTAGCAGCAATGTGCCTCCTCCACTTGGTACCAAACTTGTTGTTTCTGCCTTCGACACCCCCAAGAGCATCAGGGAAGTTGCCATGGAGGCGACCAGTCCACTCGTCCAACAGATCGGTGAGGTTATCGTGTACTGTTTTCAGCTGGAATTGGTCGTTTGGAACTGCGTTGACTGTAGGGGCTGTAGTAGCAATAGGGGTGACAGTTCGTGCTCCTGCTGTTGATTCTTCCTCCAGGTCAATTGTTCCAGTCACAGGACTGCCAATAACACCAAGTTGAAGCGGGACACCGTTTGCACCAGCGGTATCCTGCACAGAAACGCCATCTAAGTCCATGGCGTGAGTCAATAGCTCCATACCGGTTGGTTGGTCGTCTTCAACCTGTTCGTCTTCCGGTGCACCGATGGACTTTCCAATCTTCACCAGCAGCGCCCCTAATTGTTTGTCTCGTTTCAGCTGTCTATGTTCTGCATTCTCTGTATACTCGGCCAGCTTTGCGATCCCATTTGCCACTACAGAAGTAATGTTCTCGACTTTCTTGTCCAGGAGACTTATGGACGAGTGAGTTGCTGCTTGCCACTGTGTCAGTGCCGGTACTACCTTTTCCAGAGTAGCATCGAATGGATTCTTTGCCTCTTTCAAGGCAACTCGCATTGTCTCTTTGTATTGCTGTAGTGTAGGGAGAAGTAGTGAGAGCACGAACCAATTTCAATAGAGCACATGTCATTGGGAGAAACTTACAGCGAAGACATCAGTTTTGAAGACGTAGTTCAAATCGGTGAAGAGTGGATGCTCGTCTCTTTCAGGGTGAAGCACAAGCATGGCTGCTGCATCCTGGAGGAAGATCCGGTTGATATCCTTGAAGAAGCGAAGAAGGGAAAGGGCAGTGGGATTTTTTCCTGCTTGGGAGCTGCGAAGGGATGAGACAGCCTCATATGTGCTGTATACCCATTTGCCAATAGGTGTTAGCAGCAGCAACTCTTGTGGAGGAAACACATCCGTCCGTGGATTGTAGTAACAAGCGTTCTTTCCACCAAAACCGGCCATCCTCCTAACTGGACCAAGCGCCATCTTCCCACTGTAGTGGTTATTGAAGGTACCATTCGCCCAGTTTCCCATGTTCTCTATTTCACTCTGCTCCTCCATTAGAAGCTCGAGTGTCAGTGCTCCAAGCTTCCTTCCTAGATGGAGCACGTGGGAACAATCGAGACTCAACCTGTCAAGACATTTCTTGACGTGCTTGCCATAAGTGTCCTTCTCCATCTCGTGAGACCTGTTTGACTTTGGGGGACGCACTGGCCAACACCTTGATATCGAACCATTTTTTGTTGTTCTCCCAGTCGCTGGGTTCCAGGTCAGAAAACTCTCCTGTACAATGGAACCTATACTGGACATAGAAAGAAAAGGCAGCAATACTGCAAACCTTGACATCTTTATGTCTCGTTGCTCTCCCATATTGCTTGTTTCCGTGAGTGGTTTTGCCAATGCCGATTTGGTTGACCATCACGTATGTTGAATGGACGTCTCTGTCCTCGTCCTTTGGAATCGTCAAGCCCAAAAAATCACTGAACTCGGCACGATGAAGGCTCTCACACCTCAGAACGCCGCAAGTCAAATGAAGGAAGCAATATCTGTGCCTCAGCTGGCAACAAGTAGAGATATAGCCAACAGCATTAAAGCTGTCATCCCACATTAGCTGTTCAATTGCCGTGTAGTGTTCAACAATCATGTAGGGAGAGAACTCTCCATCCACCTTCTCTTTGTAGTTCGCCTTGTCTTGTAGTGGCTTCCTCTGGCGCACATATTTCAGAAGATCATCCAGTGGGAGTTTCCAGATGGCATCCCAGCTCGTGTTGGTGTTGCAGCCTTTGGCCACCTGCACCTTCCAAATCTTTCTGATGACCTGTTTGTATTGGTCAAAAGAAGATGGGCTGATTGGATGTTGTGGATTGGGGCGGCTGAGTCTGGCTGTGGCGGAGTCCTTGTAGTCTTTCATTAACTCGTCATATTCTTCCTTGTTGAAGTGCTTCCTCTGTTCAACAGGCTTAGCACGCTCTGCTTTGGTTGGTGGTTTCTTTGGCTCTCTGAAAGCAATGTAGAACATGAATCGGTACACTTTCTCATAGTTCATCACCCTGCGCATCATGTCATCATGGGGATAGACATGATCGCAAAACTGGTAGTATTCATAGATTTTGGGATCCAATGCCTTGTGTGTTTGGGTTGGTCTGGCACTCTCTGCCATCTCCAGGATGGTTTGTTGCAAATTGGAATTCAACTCCACATCTCCAGGATCTCGCAACACCACCACAGCTTCCCTAGTACCATCTGCAGCTCTTCGATGCTGCAACACCTGTACCTGCTGTTGTCTCAATGGAGAGGGTAGCCCATCCGCAATTACTCTAGCAGTAGCGCTCATCTTGATGCAATGCTGAAATGGCAGCAATGCTGCCATTTCCACGATACTTCATTGATTGCTTGCTTTCGATTGCCAGCTGAAGGTACGGAACCACTAGAGCTGAGGATAGGCCTAAGAGGGCGCGAACGCATGACGCCTGCAGGTATTGTCTACTATGCTTTCATTACCGGTCTTCTAATTCTTCTTTTTTTGACTCCAAGTCCGATTACCGGGTAAATGGATGTCCGCGCGATAGCGCGAAGGTTCTTTGTGGCCAGTCAAAGGAGGGTCATTTTGACTCCAAGTCAACCCATGCACGAATCATTTTTGACCTATGAGGGTATATAGCCATTTCAGCATTGCATCAAGATGAGCGCTACTGCTAGAGTAATTGCGGATGGGCTACCCTCTCCATTGAGACAACAGCAGGTACAGGTGTTGCAGCATCGAAGAGCTGCAGATGGTACTAGGGAAGCTGTGGTGGTGTTGCGAGATCCTGGAGATGTGGAGTTGAATTCCAATTTGCAACAAACCATCCTGGAGATGGCAGAGAGTGCCAGACCAACCCAAACACACAAGGCATTGGATCCCAAAATCTATGAATACTACCAGTTTTGCGATCATGTCTATCCCCATGATGACATGATGCGCAGGGTGATGAACTATGAGAAAGTGTACCGATTCATGTTCTACATTGCTTTCAGAGAGCCAAAGAAACCACCAACCAAAGCAGAGCGTGCTAAGCCTGTTGAACAGAGGAAGCACTTCAACAAGGAAGAATATGACGAGTTAATGAAAGACTACAAGGACTCCGCCACAGCCAGACTCAGCCGCCCCAATCCACAACATCCAATCAGCCCATCTTCTTTTGACCAATACAAACAGGTCATCAGAAAGATTTGGAAGGTGCAGGTGGCCGAAGGCTGCAACACCAACACGAGCTGGGATGCCATCTGGAAACTCCCACTGGATGATCTTCTGAAATATGTGCGCCAGAGGAAGCCACTACAAGACAAGGCGAACTACAAAGAGAAGGTGGATGGAGAGTTCTCTCCCTACATGATTGTTGAACACTACACGGCAATTGAACAGCTAATGTGGGATGACAGCTTTAATGCTGTTGGCTATATCTCTACTTGTTGCCAGCTGAGGCACAGATATTGCTTCCTTCATTTGACTTGCGGCGTTCTGAGGTGTGAGAGCCTTCATCGTGCCGAGTTCAGTGATTTTTTGGGCTTGACGATTCCAAAGGACGAGGACAGAGACGTCCATTCAACATACGTGATGGTCAACCAAATCGGCATTGGCAAAACCACTCATGGAAACAAGCAATATGGGAGAGCAACGAGACATAAAGATGTCAAGGTTTGCAGTATTGCCGCCTTTTCTTTCTATGTCCAGTATAGGTTCCATTGTACAGGAGAGTTTTCTGACCTGGAACCCAGCGACTGGGAGAACAACAAAAAATGGTTCGATATCAAGGTGTTGGCCAGTGCGTCCCCCAAAGTCAACAGGTCTCACGAGATGGAGAAGGACACTTATGGCAAGCACGTCAAGAAATGTCTTGACAGGTTGAGTCTCGATTGTTCCCACGTGCTCCATCTAGGAAGGAAGCTTGGAGCACTGACACTCGAGCTTCTAATGGAGGAGCAGAGTGAAATAGAGAACATGGGAAACTGGGCGAATGGTACCTTCAATAACCACTACAATGGGAAGATGGCGCTTGGTCCAGTTAGGAGGATGGCCGGTTTTGGTGGAAAGAACGCTTGTTACTACAATCCACGGACGGATGTGTTTCCTCCACAAGAGTTGCTGCTGCTAACACCTATTGGCAAATGGGTATACAGCACATATGAGGCTGTCTCATCCCTTCGCAGCTCCCAAGCAGGAAAAAATCCCACTGCCCTTTCCCTTCTTCGCTTCTTCAAGGATATCAACCGGATCTTCCTCCAGGATGCAGCAGCCATGCTTGTGCTTCACCCTGAAAGAGACGAGCATCCACTCTTCACCGATTTGAACTACGTCTTCAAAACTGATGTCTTCGCTGTAAGTTTCTCCCAATGACATGTGCTCTATTGAAATTGGTTCGTGCTCTCACTACTTCTCCCTACACTACAGCAATACAAAGAGACAATGCGAGTTGCCTTGAAAGAGGCAAAGAATCCATTCGATGCTACTCTGGAAAAGGTAGTACCGGCACTGACACAGTGGCAAGCAGCAACTCACTCGTCCATAAGTCTCCTGGACAAGAAAGTCGAGAACATTACTTCTGTAGTGGCAAATGGGATCGCAAAGCTGGCCGAGTATACAGAGAATGCAGAACATAGACAGCTGAAACGAGACAAACAATTAGGGGTGCTGCTGGTGAAGATTGGAAAGTCCATCGGTGCACCGGAAGACGAACAGGTTGAAGACGACCAACCAACCGGTATGGAGCTATTGACTCACGCCATGGACTTAGATGGCGTTTCTGTGCAGGATACCGCTGGTGCAAACGGTGTCCCGCTTCAACTTGGTGTTATTGGCAGTCCTGTGACTGGAACAATTGACCTGGAGGAAGAATCAACAGCAGGAGCACGAACTGTCACCCCTATTGCTACTACAGCCCCTACAGTCAACGCAGTTCCAAACGACCAATTCCAGCTGAAAACAGTACACGATAACCTCACCGATCTGTTGGACGAGTGGACTGGTCGCCTCCATGGCAACTTCCCTGATGCTCTTGGGGGTGTCGAAGGCAGAAACAACAAGTTTGGTACCAAGTGGAGGAGGCACATTGCTGCTAAGAACTATTCCAGAAGAAAGCAAGCAGTGGCTGGCATTCGTGGGTTCGCGGAGCGCCACAATATGGATGAAATCGATGCCTGTACCACCCTTGATGTTGAATACAAGAAGGGCAACCGATCTGTTGCTAATTTTGTCGACTACTTGAAGGCCAATGAACTGCTACAGAAGCAGGCCTCTCGTGGCCGTACCAAGAAATAAGAAATTGTGTGCTACTTTACTCTACAGTTTGGTGGGCTTCCAAGCTCCTTGTTCTGTGACCTCTTGAGCTGTCACCATGGGCTGTTTCTCAGAGATACAGCCCCCATCATTCTAGCTGTATTTAAACTAACAGTAGTATACCCCTGCTTTCAAAGAAAGCTTTCAATTGCTCATGTACTAGCCGTTGCTTCTCCATTGTCGACTTGATGTATCGTATGTTTTTGTGTTGTTGCCTGTTGCTGAAGGGGTGCGTGTTGTTGTAAAAGGGGTGCGCAGCATTGAAGTTCTTTTTCGAAAAGTGAGAAAAGTGCGAAGTACGTCAGTACCGATTTGAGTACCGGTCAGTGAAAAAAGAAGGGATGTCACCACGAAATCCTGCATGGAGGGTTTCCATGCAGGATCTGGTTTGGCCTATCAGATTTGTGACGGTACTGTATTCCACACAGTAAAACCACAATTCTGACAAGTCAAACCAGAGCTCCCAGTCAAAACCTTCCACTTTGACTGTCGCGATGACACTACGTGCTTTTGCCTTGACTGAAGATCCTACGAAGGACAGACAATAACTTTATTATCACATTCTCGTGAAAACGAAGAGCTACGGTATCATTCCATAACCAACAAAACAAGACCATGGGAAATCGATCGTCGTCAGTGCAACCTGCAGGGCCTCCACCGCTCCTCACGGCGGCAGTAATGGGAGACTTGAGCAAGTTTCAAGAAGAATGGAATGGAGCCGATTCGGTGCAAGTCTTGGATCGTCAAGACAACAACGTGCTGCATGCCTTGTTCAGTTGTCGTGGCCGAGAAGGAGCCCAATGCCAAGAAATTTTGAATCAAATCCATGCCTCTCTATCGACAAAAGCTCAAATTCAGAATGCGTATCAAGCGAAAAATAGTCTTGGTTGTACGCCACTCTGGATCCTTGTAGCCTATGGGAATGTCGACTTGTTAAAGCACGTCCAAGAGAAATTCGCCGCCATCGATTCCAGCGTGTTGTTTCAGGACATGCTGCGAGTGCCCAACCACCAAGGCGATTCGCCCTTTTTGGCAACGTGTTCCATGGGAAATACCGACATGATTCGATTTTTAAAGCAAGTCATTTTGACACCCGAACAATCACTACCGCCTTGACCGCGTCCAACCAAAAGGGAACCACTCCACTCCAAATTATTGTGGGAAACAGTCATTTGACACTGCTCCAATTGGTACTACAAGAAGGCGACTCCTCCGTGGAAAAGCAACTGATGCAACTCAACGCCGCTGGTTTGTCGTTATTTCACATTTGCTCGGAACGAAATGCCCACGATGCCCTGCAAGCCTTGTTGTCTTTTATGATTGACAACAAGGCAGCAGACGACAAGAAGAGTGACGTAGAGACTCTCGAGCAAGTCCTTGCATTAAAAGACAAGAATGGGGCCAATACTATCCATGTGGCGGCATTCTGTGGGAACAAGGAAACCGTGCAGCTATGGATTACTGTCATTCAAAAAGCTTGTGCTACTAACGACAACAAAACCAACGCCGTGGACCTGTTGGACAAGATGGATGGACAGGCACGAACGCCGTATTGGTTGGCCATGGTGCAAGGCAAGGATGCTGTCGGGGCACTTTTGGCGGATGCGGGTGTTGATACGGAGCATCCCAATATGGTCAAAGAAATCAAGGAAGCTCAAGAACAGCGACAGGCACGGCAGCAACAACGACTCAACCCGTGATGGGTCAGCCTTGTTGGGGAGATAATTCCTCTGCAGGTTCCCATGTCCGGTACTGAATCATAGATTTTGGCCTAGCGATCTACAGAAGCATGAGTAATCCTAAGATCGCCAGCAAGACACCTTGTAGTTTCCAGTGATGGTCTATTTTTATTGTTTCTTATTTATTACGTTTCGTGGCTCCCTATGCATTGATCGTTGCGCTGTTTGTCAAGTGCTCGTGCCATTGCGTCCTTCTTCGCCAATGGATCCGACCACGCCACAACAATGTTCCTGCCCTTATCGTACGTGGGCTGTCTTCCGTGAGATGTCGAGAAATTATCAATCATCACAACGTCCCCTTGCTGCCAACGATTGTAGATTGTGTTCTCATGCACTGCCTTGCGGATTTGATGCATTTCCCAAATCGAAAGCGGCATTCCGTCTCCAAATGCCACATGCAATGCCATTTGCTGTCGCAAGATGGGACCGTACTTGATCCACGACAGTACACCCAGAAGCAGTGCTCGCATCAGGTATCGCAAATCCTTGGTGCGACGAAAGGCGGCAAAGAGCTCTGCAGGAAAGCTGGTCCAATGGAATACTTGTGCGTGGTTGAACCAAACCGCTTCTCCGGTTTGTGGATGTCGCTGGAAGGCTTCGGTTTCAAACTCACTGACAAACGTGTCATCACCTTCCCATCGCATGGGCATGTTTTCTTGGGCGGCCATCTTTTCTACTTGTTTCTTGTCGTTTGTCCGAAAGAGTTCGCTCCAACTCAACATGGCAGCCACATCATGCGTGAATCGGTCACCAACCTTCTTGTGTGTACGGGTGTATCGCAACTTCTTTTCTTGAAGCTTGTCTCGGAGGTCCTTGGGAATGGCATTGTAAACCTTGCGAAAGTCAGCCAAGGCTGTCTCTCCGCCCACCGCTGCCGGTGCCTTGAGGGCACTAAAGAAGAGTTTCTTGGGTGGCTCGGGGAGGAATGACATTTCAATGTGCTGGGCTATCGGGTAGTGGGAAGGCACCTCTGCAGCCGAAAAGACAAATTCGGTATTGCCTTGAGTGTGACGGGGCGATGTGCCTCTGTACTGGTTGTTCAAATTGTGTTCGTAGCTCATGACGGCGTCTTCGACGTCTTTAGCCGTCACAACATGAAAGCCACGAAAGAGTAAAGCTCCATAACGAAGCATCATGTCATCGATCCAGTCCTTGTTATGATTCATGAATGACGAAAGAAAGGCAAGGGACTTTTGAGATTCTGTTTTGGGTGATATCACAAGTGGATAGCTCTTGAAGGTGCCGTCTTTGTTGTCCGATGGCAACAGAGATACACCAATGTCATTCGGTCCAGCGTGAGGCTCGGTCCGGAGTGGAGTGATTGATGAAAGGGAAGGCATTGTTTCTGGCTTGTGAATAATTAATGAGTGTTCGAATTCAGTGTCGGGGAGAGTTTTATAGGAAAGAGGTTGTGACTTTGGACGACGTGTGAAGCTTTTTG